GACCAAGTGCGCAGAAGAAAAAGTGCCATGCACACAAATCATGGGATTGGGCAGAAAAGTGGGTTGCCACAAAGTTTGCTGAGATCAGCAAAAGAGAGATCTTACAACCAAACTCATTGAGATCAGCAGAACAGGGGCTGTATGACAGATCTTGACAAAACATAGCACAAGGAGCCAATCACACCAATCTCACAAGATACACCATCACAGAGAAGATGATCAAGATGTGGGGGTCAGGTGACCCTGAGTGACAGGAGGACAACAGATGTGGAGGGGCTCACCACTCAGATGAGGTAGGGGCCCTAAACGATGATGAACTCGGCGTAAGAGGAGGGTCGCCGGTGTAAGCGGTCGCATGCCTGAAACCAGGTTTGGTGTTTCCAGTTGCTATTGGTGAGATTAACCAAGTAGGCTCTGTTTGGTATGTTTTGGTGAAAGTAACCAGATGGCTGAGTTCTGGTAAGTTTCAGCTGACTGCCTTGAACACTCTGTTCAGAGGCTATGTGGCACATCTGTAACACTTTGATTGGAGTTGATATAGGATACAACTCCCCATTACAGCATGAGTGTTTGTAGTGCTGTTGCTTGATGATCTTTGTTGTTATCTGGACTGCAATAAGATTATCACCTACAGATGACAGGAGGTACTGGACCACAGGTATTATACACTGCTTTCAGTAAGAGACTGGACTGCAGGTGTTGAGCAACACTGCCTACAGGGAGAGACTGGACTGTCATGGGACCAGATGCACAGGAAGCAGGGAGATCCAAAGTCATATGAGGAGGAGTGCAGGATTCACAGGATTGGGAAAAATGAGGGTTACAGCAGAGTTCATCGAGATCTGTAATAGGGAGGCTTTATGACAGGTTTCATCCAAATTGGTACAAGCAGGATCTTACAGTGAAACCCACTGGAATTGGTAGTACCTTGATCATACAACAGATCTTGTGGGGACCAGCAGGAGGGCACCAATTTCACAGATCCCACAACCAGACAGATGTCTAAGACATTGGGGTCACTACCCTGATGAAGCAGGGGCCAGCTTGATGATGAACTCAAGAGCAGGAGGATGGGCAAGATGAAGGGGGGTGTAAATCACCACTCAGATGAAGTGGGAATGGCCCCTGTCAATTATGAAGCAGCATGAGGACTGTCCATCCACAGTAAGCAAGGGGAGTGGTGCCAACAAGTAGCATTGTAAGGAAGACAGGACCAATAGGAAGGATGAGGGGAGGAGGAGGAGTAGTACTGGGGGAGGCCTCCCAGAGCAGGAGCAAGTGTTGCAGGTGACATTGTGGGAATGGCTATATAACCATGCTCCTTGTTGTAGTAGTTGAGTGGATCCCAATCCACTCTACACATTATCTTACTAGTTATAACTTCACATAAGTATACTTAGTAGTTCTGTCAACAGTTGCAATTGCAGAGCATTGCATCTACATAGCATGTGTGTTGTATCACCACTTCTTGACAACATCCAAAGGTGGTTCATACAGCAGTCTGGATCACAATCAATACCAAAGGTGGTTCACACTGCAGTCCAGCTCTCTCGATCATTAGAACAGAAGGCAGTTGTTCACTGCAGTCCAGGGATCACTCATTCAATCATTCAGTTGACACACTGGACACTTGTGCCAGTGCAAGCACATTCACACCAGACCTTGGTGTCATCTCAACATATTTATTGGTTATTGATCATGCTGAGCTACCTCTGGATGGAGTGTCCCCAGCAGTCAGTTGAAACCTGTGATACCTTTCAAGTTACAACATATTTGAGCAAGAACAGTCATAGAAGACTTCTATGACAGATTTGAGCAGGAACAATATTAGGCAACCTTTACTACAGATCTTGCTGAGATTAATTGTAACTGCCTTTTACTACATATTTCGGGTTTCAGGCATGCGACCTCTGACATGGACCACAAGTGTTAGAGAATACAGCCTACAGTTGACTTCCGATGGTGATGCAACACACACGATCGAGAGGTCATTGCAAATGCCCTGCTATTGCAATGATGTGAATGTAACTAAGTAAAGAGTGAGAAAGTATAGAGTAGAGTGGATAAGGATCCATTTGTATGCTATGGTGAAATGGGAGTATTTATGTGTTTGTTTGGTGTTGCCCTGCAACATCCCTCCTGCTCCTCCTGAAGAGGGTTATTGACTCCTTCCATCACTACTCCCCTTTTCCTTGAGCTTTGTGCTGACTCCTTCAATGTTGCTCTTCTACTGCCTGGACAGTGTGTTGGTTTGTTCAACACTGCCCCCTCACCTCCTTGCTCCTCTTCTCCTGGTGATGCATGTTGACCTCTTCAACACTGCTCCTCCTCCTTGTGGTTAATCCCCAGTCTCCTTACTCCTTAACACAGCTCTCCCTCCTCCTAACCAGTGACCATCTTCTGATCTCTTATCAAGTGAACCCCTTGATCACATGACAAACCTTATTGTCATGCTCCCTGACCATGCAGTCACCCCTGTGGCTGGCTCTATGTGGCTGTGAGCATGTCCCCCTGAGTGGTAACCATCCACATGATACTGAGCTTGGTCCTCTTCCTTGCATGTGATTGTTTCCTGTATGCCTCCCTCACCTTCCAGTGCTGGGAACCCCCTGTCAGAGGTTGTGTGCCTGAAACCTGAAATTTGTAGTAGAAAGATAACTACTACTGATTCTATTGAGATCTGTGGTAAAAGGCCTTTATTATGATTCTTGCTGAGATCTGTTGTAGAAGCCTTCTATGACTTTTCTTGCTCAAATATGTGATAGCTTGAAAGTTATTGCAGGTTTTGACTAACCACTGTGGACACTCTGTCCAGAGGTAGCTTGGCACAATCAATAGCTATAGATATGTTGTGATGACACCAAGGTCTGGTGCTGATGCTGTTGTTTGCTTTGACACAAGTGTCCAGTGTGCCAACTGGGTGACTGAGTGATCCCCAGACTGCAGTGGATGACTGCCTTTGGTTTCTAATGATCAAGAGAGCCAGACCACAGTATGAACTGCCTTTGGTATAAACCAATATCTGGACCACAGAATGAACTGCCTTTGGATGGCATCAAGTGGTGATACAACACATGCACTATGATAGTAGCAATGCTCTGCAATTGCTACTGGTGACAAATCTACTAAGTATACTTATTGTGAAGTTATAGCTAGTAATGTAAGGTGTAGAGTGGATGGAGATCCACTCAACTACTATGATGAGGAGGTATGGTTATATACATCTTTGCTGTGTTGCCTGCAACTCTGCTTTGGCTCTCTCTCCTGAGAGTACCCCTCTTTGTCAAGCACTGCTCCTCCCATTCCTTCATGGTCAAGGAAGGCCAACTTGTCACTTCCTCATCAATAGAGGTCACCCCACTTCATCCTAGTGGCAGCACACCCCCTTTAATCTACCCCTGATGCTGGCACCCATTTTCCCACACTGACTTCATTGTTGTGCAAGGCCCCCTCCTCATCCAGTGGTGACCTCTTCCTTGTTCTTGGTTATCCTCTTGTGGCATTGGTGATAGGAATATCTTTGGACCAGTGCCCATGAGGTCTGTCATACAAGCATGGTACTACCATTTCTACTGAACTCTGTAGTAGTGGACTTGTTTTTGCCAATATTGATGAGTTCTGCCATAGAGCCATTGGTCCTACTGATCTCACTGAACTCTGTCAGAACTCCCCTTTTCCTGATTCACGATTGTTGTGCATGGTCTCTTCATATGAATCCATTTCTTCCTGCGCATCCATCCAGTCCTGTGACACCCCCTTTCCCGATCCTCCTGTTGCTTCCTCATGATGAATGACCCATTCTGTACTGATGGGGGCTTTGTTCAGCACATTTTGGTAAAAAATACTGAATAGGCTTATTCTGATCAATCCCAGTGAGATTAATCAGAACCCCAGATCTTGGTTGATCTTGCAAATTATATGTGCCACTAACCTGATCAGATTGTCGACACCCAATGCTTGCTCCAAATCTTTCTGCGCAAGACCTTCTGCGCAGACCCTGTGACAAGCGGCATCAGGGGCAAGATGAGAGAGCGCCCCACCACTGGGAAGAAGTGGGGGCAACCCCTATCAACAATAAAGCGGCACTTGGTCTCTTCGACCACAAGGAGTAGGAGAAGCAGTGTCAAGATGAGCATACACCCTAAGAGAGACAAGGGCTGTAAGAAAGAAGAGAGGAGGAGGGGCAGCTCCGAAGGAGACCCTACACCTCCTGAGATGAGCAAGAGCAATGTCACAGGTGACACTGCAAGGACATCTATACAACCATACATTCTCTCTGTAGTAACAGTCAAGTGGATCCTAATCCACTCTACACTTAACTAGCTATATCTTCACCATATCATATACTTAGTTGTTCTGTCATAGTTGCAATTGCAGGCCATTGCTTCTAACATAGCACATGTGTTGTATCACTGCTACTTGACAACATATGTAGGCAGTACTCTACTGCAGTCCAGATAACAATTGATACCAAAGGCAGTCTCTGCATTCTGGCATTCTCAATCTCATAATGAAGGCAGTTGTGCACTGTGGTCTGGTTCTCAATCAATCAGCTTAATCATGCAACTGTCAACACTACAGATGCTCATGTCAAGACAGACACCATTGCCACACACCTGATGTGGTTCAAGGAGGTTTGCTAAGACCTTGATTGTGTTGTGCTACCTCTGGATGGAGTGTCCACAGTGGTTAGTCAAAATCTGTTATAAACCATAGTTACAATCTATTCTGGCAAGAAAGATCCTAAGGGGCTTCTACAATAGATTCCAGCAAGAAAGATCATAGAAGGCTTTTATGGAAGATTTTACCAAGGTTGATTCTAGTCAGCCTTAACAATAGATTTCGGGTTCCAGGTGCGCAACCGCTTACATTGTCCAAGTTAAGCTCTGGCTGTGTGCATCAAAGAGAGCAGCTGTCACATTGTTGTTATAGTTGACAACTGATCCCATGGTCAAGCCAAGTATATGAGCAACATCTTGGATGCTGGCACCATTTCCATGTCATCCCATTCTGTAGAGGAAGACAGCAAGCTGGAAATATGTGCTTCTGGAGTTGGCCTTGAAGACCTTGTGATCTCTGATCTGCTTAAGGATGCAATCAAATGCTTCTGGCCACATTCTGACCATCCTGCAGAAGGCTTGTCTATCATTCTGATGGAACTTGTCAAGCAAGGAAAGAATGTCATCTGAGGCCCAGTCTTTTTGCTGCACCCTTTGGTCTGCAAGATACTGTGTGCTCCATAGCTGATCTGCAATGGGTCTGATGGTTGCAACAGTTGAAATCAAGTTGGGTTGCTGTGCAGCAGAGCAGGCAGATGGAATGGCAGGTGAGCTGGAAAGAAGGAGACTTGTTGCCATTGCAAGGGCTGACTGCCAACTGAGAGTGGTCTGACAGTGTTGTGGCATGGTTATGGTTTGCAGTGTGGGGGATGACAAAGATACTGCTTCTGAAGAATTAGTAGCATAAAGTTCTTCTTGGAGTGCTTTACAGGATTGATGCAACTCTCTGCCAAATTTGCTTTTTGGTACTGCTCACTTTAGGGTAAAGCTAGAAAAGCACATGCGTTGAATGGCCCTATTGACCTTAAGAAACATGGTGGCAGCCTCGAGCTCTCAGCTCGATATATACAGCTTGTGCATAAACTGTCCCACAATTTCAGATGTCACCACACATCACTCCAATGCTCAATAACCAATGTATCAAACCTATGCTTAACCTACACTGTTGGAAAGCTCTGCTTCTTCTCTACAAGACTGTGTAATTGATATTGACATTGCATGAGAAAAATGTGCATCAAAAAAGAGTTGAGAATAATTTTATTGTGGGACAGTATATGTAGCCCTCCTGTACAAAACCTTAGTACTTTGTATTCCCTCCTTTTGCCTTCAGAACTGCCTTTATGCAGTGTGGCATACTCTCTATTAGGTTCCTACATGTCTCTGGAGTGATTGCTGCCCATTCAGCCTCACATCTCTTGAGCAGTTCATCCCTGGACTTTGCAATTGTACTATACTTTGAAAGTTGCATTTTGAGATGCTGTCAGAGGTGTTCAATTGGGTTTAAGTCAGGGGACTGCACTGGCCATTCAATAACCTTGATGTTATTGCTTGTCAACCACTTTGTAGTCTTCTTGGACATGTGTTTAGGGTCATTATCTTGCTGAAAAATGATCTCAGTATATTTATGCTAAAGGTGCAAATCTGAGATTGTTTTGACAAGCTTGTCATTCAGGATTTTGATGTACTGGTCTGAATCCATTATACCCAGCACCAAGCACATACCTCCCACCCCTTCCACATCATACAGCCCCAGATCATGATGGAGCTGCTGCCAAACTTGACTGTAGGCCTGACAAGCTTACTGTTGAAGTGAGCATTCTTAAGCCAACAGAACTGCTTACCATCTGGTCCAAAAAAGTTGATCTTTGTCTCATCTGACCATGTAACCTTTTTCCTACTGTGGTTGGGCAAGCTTTGACTTGCAATGTCTCCTGTAGTGCTTGACATGCTTTCCTGACAGTGGAGGTAGGATTGAGCTTGAAATAGTGGCTCAGGAAGTGAACATGATGGGGCAGGAGTTATTTTGGGCAGCAACCCTTTGACTTTGGTACATCAGTTGAGGTGCTTTTGCTGATGTGATTCACAGTAGACTTGCTCAAACCAAGTTGCTTGGCAACTGAATGGATAGATTCCCCATTGTGGAGATGAAAGAGTGCAGATCTGTGCTTCTCTGGGGTGGGTTTTTAGGCATGATAGTATAGAAATGATGGTGTCAGACTGGAAGTGCTGCTGGATTGCTTACAGTCATCTGATTGAGCTGAAACTTTGCATGTCACTACTTTTGATGTATATGTAGGTGCCCACCAAGTTTCATTGCAAGTTTCATTGTAATTGAAAGCCCACAAGGACAGGAATGGAGTGGTGTTGCTATTTGGCAGCATGCTCTGTTTACTGTCCCAGAAGGGGGGAAAAAATCACACACCTTTTATTTTCTTTGACTGCACTTTTTGATACATCAAGCTGGTATGGTTGAATAGGTATTCTCAAGGCCTTTCAGACAATATAAGAGAGTGTGGCAATAAGACATATGGTTATTGAGCATTGGAGTGATGTCTGGCAACATCTAAAATCGTGGGACAGTTTACACGCGAGCTGTATATACAGTAGCGGTACCTAGGTTCTTTCCTTTACCCTTAGCCTCTTATAACATACATGTATTTAGTCCCCCTCTTGGTGCGGAATGTAGACAGGCACTGTTTATACATGTCAAAGGTGGGAGCATCCTCCTTAATGAGCGAGTGTCGCAAGGAGCGGGTCGAGGCGGTACCGCATTTCTTACCAGATCCGTTGTGTCATCTTCAGTGTCTTGCTGCATCGTTATCTTCAACAGCAACTGTTGGTAAGATAAGTTTGAACAACGATGCTCAACAAGCGGTCTTGTTCAAAGGTCAAAACTGATGCTGCTATTGGGGCAGAAATACTACGGTCTTCCTTTCATCACGAGGTGCTGGCCAAGGTTCAGATGATGAGTGCTTCAAGGTGGGACTGTGTCGTTGATTATAGTCACGGTGAGTTGGCATCAACACGCATTGAAAGGCCTTGTTACTATGAGCTGCCCACATGCTACGGACGTTTGAGAAGCAGGCATCAAACTTCAGAGCGAGACAGACATACACATGCTTGCATTGACGAACACGAGCACGACCAGGGCTGAGATGAGATGAGATGAGATGAGTGCATTCTGAGTGCATTCATTGATGAGAAACGTAATGAGAACAGGCAGCTACAAGAGGCGAGAGACAGATCGAATCGAGCGAGAGTGAAGATTGGCGGACAAAAACCAACGCCAGGCGGCAATCAGGTGATGGGAACAGGAGTCATAGTGGTCTGCGCAATGCTACCAGCTGTGGGCGGAGCGATGTGAGGATGAGGCATAGTCGTAGCGGTAGTGTTTGCAGTCCTATCATGAACGGGTGCAGAGCCGACACCACCTTGCGAGGCAATTGCTTGATGAGCTTTCTCTTCGAGTCGCCCTCGTTGCTCGTGCTCGACAATGTCGTCCTCCGAGGCCTTGCCCGATTGGAGACGCAAGGCGTTGTAGTCGCAATTGCTTAGCATGGAGAGGAGCAACAAGGCAAAGATAGGCTTGGTGAAGAGGTCCAAGAGACCGTACCAGAGGAACTAGGAGGATTGAAAACAGAGGCAAAGACAAGTTACGGTCAGTAACATGGTTGCCAAGTATGAGGCAAACATCAGGGTTAGAGGTAATCACCTCCTCGCTGACACCGATGGCATTCGCGCCTTCGCTCAAAGCCCAGCAGATGGCGTACATCGGCCAGATGATGGCCAACAGAGTCGAAGCGGCAAGGAACGCACGACCAAAGCCAGCGCCGAGTCGACGAGCTGAGCGCAAGCCGGAGGCAAAGATCTGGTACAGAACGTAGGCCAGCGCGGCACATGCAAAGACCTGTCATGGGAAAAGTTATCGAGAGTGAGACAAGAGATTCCAAGTCAGCAACGAGACTCAAAGTGGCAAGAGTGGAGGAGAAGACGGCGATCGATGCTGAGTACGCACAAAGTAGCCCCACTTATATCCGGATCGGGTCAAAGCACCGAGGAGAGCGGATACAACCATCAACAGGTTGAAGAAGAGGGTGATCAAGATGACGGAAAGAGGCAGAGCGGTGATCAAAAGCAGGCTGAGCAAGAGGAGCGAGCTAGTCAAGAACCAGTCGATGTAGCGACTGTACCAGATCTGGCGAGTTGGGTAGCCGCCAAAGCCGCCACCAAGAGGATTGTTGCGAAGGAACTGGACAGTGACAGGCGTAGAACCGAGATCGCTGGCCATAGAGAACCACGAGATGGTGGAGATGGCGAGAGCGGCAATGAGCAAGTAGTGGAAAGCCCGTCGGTTAGGAGGAACTCTCACGGACCAGATCAAGAGACCAAGAGTGGAAGCTGCCATGAGACAAAAGACGGTCCAGGCCCAGTTGCTACCCCAGCGGCCGAGATGGATGTCTGCATTTGGCGGGTTGACTTGAAGCGCACTGCTGGCAGGCCGTCTGATGAAAGCTGTGTCCATGATGGGGGCAAAGCTGTCAGCGTTGACTGCCTCGGGCTCGGATGGTAATGTCGAGAATTGCGTTGGAGTAGGTGTTTCGTTGGAGTAGGTGTTTTTTCGACGATACTGCGAATGTGGCCAAGGAGGGTGTTCGGTCTGCCTGGCGGAGCGTCTCGCTGGCTTATATATACACGCGTGTAAGTTTGCGGACTGTGATAGTGTGATGCGAAAGATGGAGGCGTGTGTGGCGGTTGAGTGAGTTTGGGTAGTGATGTGACGTTTGCTTGCAAATCACAGTTGTGAAAGCTGAGCTGATCGGCGCTGCCGTTATGGTGCTCCGTGCAGACTGGCTGGTGGAGCGACTAGAGCAACGGCTCATCCGCTTGTCCAGAGCTGGGAGAAGGGCAGGCAGAAGAACCAAGGGATCGCAAGTGTCACTCGCAAAGAGAGCATTCCAGCCGAGCAAGACTGTCGGACAAGCTTCCGATACTGTCATCGGATCTGCCGCTCACCAGAACGGCTTGAGCTGAGTGGACGCCAAGACTGCTGGCTAAGTCGTCGTAGCAACACTGTTGGCTGAGTCGTAGTAGCAAGACTGCAACCACGAAAAGGTCCCCCAGGTAAAAAGCGCTGCCGGCGCTGCAATGCATCTCAACGCCCCATTCCTCCTCTCGGAATAGGAAGCATGTCAGACAACAAGTGCAGACGATGGGAAGAGGACAAGGTAGAGGACATGAGATTGCCATTTGCCAACGTCTATGCCAACGGCGACAGCGATGGATGAGTGATGTGTCAAGGCGCAAGACACGGCTTTGGCATCGAGAGCAGTCGCATTGCCGGCCAACTATGGTGCCTTGCAACGCAAACGCAACTCGACCGCCTCAATCGCATCCTTGAGCTCCTTCGGTCCTGGCTTGGCCGCTACCGCATCAGGTTCAATATCGAGCTTCTCCACCATCCATGCACGTGTAGTGCTTCCGATGACAGCGATGCGTGGATACTTTCTCGAGGTGCTGTTGTTGGACGATCGTCGACCATCTGTAGAAGCGTGAGAGGTCACTGTCGTCTTCGAGTTGACCGTCTCAGTGTCGCCAGAGGGCTTCGACTCTTGTTTGGGTGGCATCCATCTGCGTCTTCTGAACTCTTCCAATGCATAGTTGACACCGCTCGGAGAGAAGAAGACGATCCAATCTGGTCTCGCAATGCGCTGTTTCAAGTTGCTGTTGCCCGCTGTATCGGCATTCTTCGCCTTTAATCGCAGCATCTTGAGCACCGACTCTTCTTCGATCGGATTGATTGCCTCTGGCTCGATTGTAGCAGACGAAGCCATCATCTGTGGTGAGCCGCCAAGCGCTGCAGGAACGCTCAGACTCTCGAGGCGAGTCTTGCTAGCCTCGTTGGGTGTCGCAGACGTCATGGTGCTGACGCCGAGCGGTGTGCCCACCGAAGCAACATGGCTAAGGTTCTGCATCGAGGAGATGGTCGCATTCCCTCCCATGTCTGCTCCAGCTCGGGCACCAAGATTTTCGACACTCGACTTTCGACTGGCAATGGCACTTTTGGGGATGGCACTTTTAGAGATGGCATGGTCGATGGACGTCGTACTACCACCGCTAGGGCGTCTGCTACCTGGAAGACGAGAATACATGCTGCCATGACTCGGCCGTCGACTGGGGGGTCTAGAGACTAGGGAAGGGAGCGTCTTGGCGAGCACTTGACATCCTTCAGCAAAGTGCCGATCTGGAGCTGTCTCGTATACTTGAAGCTCTTCGAAGGCTATTGGACCCGTTGGCGGCGAAGCCTGGGACAGAATATCTGGAATGGTGGAAGCGTTCTTGTCGCCGACAAGATACAGAAGCGGCGGTGCTTGCTCTGCTGTGTGCAGGTCCGAGTTGTGATGCAGGATGCAAGGTGTTGACAAGTGACGGATCACGTATCGAGCCAGGGTCTCTCCTGTCCCTGTAGCTTCTCCTCCCATGACTAGACGTGGTCGCAGCCATGGAGCCAATGGCACTGCGCGAAGCGCTGAAGAGGTGGCAGGACCGACAGCAAAGAAGGGAACGCGGTTCCATTGTGTTGGAGAGCTACTCGAAGTCTTGTTGTTGTTTCGAAGAACCTCCTGAGCTTTCACACCGGCTGAAACGTATGCCTCCACCGCTCTTTGGCTAGTGACGATCATGCCACGGTAGGCGTTGCCATGAACAACTCCTTGGGCAGGAGATCCATACAAGAGACGATCGACGAACCGATCCTGGTTGACAAACTTGTGAGCAAGGATAGGGAAGGAAGTGACGCAGTATTCCATCTCGACCTCCTTGCCGCTCGCATCTGAGGGATAGGAGAGATGATGCGTCATGAGTCGCCGCTGATCCTGGATGAATTTGCCTTTGCGTCTTCCTGTTGGTGAGACTGGTAAAGCTGAAGATGCGGATGCGGATGCGGATGCGGATGCGGATGCTGGCTGATCTGATAAAGATTCAGACTGGTTGGCGGCAGCAGCTTGCTGCGTGAGAGCAGTCTTGATGAGATCAAGTGCACCATTATCAGTGGTGGAAGCTAATGACGACTTGGGCCCTATGGATAGGCTTGGAAGCGGTGTTGAAGCCCCGGACTCGAGCGCGGACGAGGCGAAGGATGGCAGACAGAAGGAGCCAAAAGCGTCATGGTATGGATCTGTGCCTTTGGACATGGACACCGGAGACCTCAAGAGAAGGACCGTGATGGGAGGTGGCGGCTCCTCTATATCTTCTGCGGCCGACATGATTGCGATGCATGTGCTGAGATGGTGGTAGTAGTCTGCTCTCGACACTGTCGGCTTGCTCCCGATTTGCTGAGTGTAAGCGTGGGAAAAGTGGCGGGCGATCCGATATGCGCGCGATTCCAGTCGCAAGGCGGCCGTCGGCTCTTCCGATAGCGACAGTCAGCGCTGAACGCTATCCAGTGACGTTGGAGAGAGAGAGAGAGGAATCAAGATGTGATCAGGGCGAAGGAGTGGTCGATGCTCGAAGAAGAGGGCCTAGGCCATGTGACATTTGGAAAGGTGACAACGCTTTCCATAGCAACAACACTCTCGACAGGCCAAACGCCCAAAAGGTCAAAAGAAACGCAGATGGCCCAAATCCAAAAGAGAAGGCGAACAAGAACAGAGCTCGGTGATTTGTTCCAGCAAAAGCCAAACGGCTCTCTCTCTCTCTCTCTCTCTCTCGCACTCTACGCCTCTCACTCTACGGCTCTCAAAGCCAAAATCAGGCAGATGCGGACAAGCCGACTGATCCCTATCGACGACCAGAAGCAACCAACACCGCCCACCGCCACCGCCACTGCCACTATCATCACCACTACCATCACCACTACCATCGTCGCCAATCCCTTTTCAGCCTTGTAGCATCTGCCGCAATGTCGACATCATCTGCTTCGGGCGAGGCTCACTTCATCATCGGTGGCTCGGGCTTCCTCGGTTCTCGCATCGCTCTTGCTCTTCGTCAACGTGGCGAGAAGTATGTCTCAGTTTTCGATCTCCACGCCGCTCGTCAGCCCATCGAAAAGGTCGACTACTACACCGGCGACATCACCTCAGAAGACTCGCTTCGTAAGGCGCTCATCCAGGTCCGCGACAAGGCCGGTATCGAGTCTGGCGCAAACAAGGGCATCGTCATCTACCACACAGCCAGCCCCGTTGCTGGTCTCGGCCCAGAGATCTACCACAAGGTCAACGTGGTTGGTACACAGACCGTCATTTCTGTTGCCAACAAGTCCGAACTTGCTGTCACAAAGCTCGTCTTCACATCAAGTGCAGGGGTCGTCTACGATGGTAACAGCTTGATCAATGTTGATGAGCGTCTTCCCTACCCCTCAAAGCCTCTTGACGCCTACAATGACACAAAGGCGAAAGCAGAGAAGCTCGTATTGCAAGCCAATGAGAAGCAAGCAGGAAGGCTCAAGACGATAGCTCTCAGGCCAGCAGGTATCTTTGGTATTGGTGACCGACAAGCACTCCCCGGCTTCTTCAACCTCCTCCGAACACGCAAGACTCACTTCCAGATCGGTGACAACCAGAACCTCTTTGATTGGACTTACGTCGACAACGTCGTTCACGCCCACCTCCTTGCCGCTGATAAGCTCGATGCTCCTGGCTACCCTGCTCAGAAGCTCGGCGAGGTCATGATCTCGACAAGAATCCTTGCAGATGACCAGCTCGATTCTGAACGTACCGTCCCCACAAGCGAGGCTCGAAGCGACACTCCCACCGGCTCCACTGACTATGCCCGCAAGCTCACCACCACTCTCAGCCCAGAAACGCTCAAGCACCAACTCAACGTCCGCCCTGTCATCCGCAACAAGTACGACCAGTTCTTCCACTTGATGAACCCAGACATTGCCAGTCCCGGTAACCCGCTCGGTGACCAGACTCCTCTTGTCGAGCAATCCATCCCTGTCGCCGGCGAGGCGTTCTTCATCACTAATGGCCAACCCATTCCCTTCTGGGACTTCCCACGTGCACTGTGGGCCGGCATGGGTCACGTCATGCCACAGGAAAAGGTTTGGAAGATCTCCAAGGAGTGGGGTCTTACTTTGGCGGGTTTGGCAGAGACCTTCTCTTGGTTGACAGGAAGGGAGTCGCAGTTTACAAAGTACAAGGTTACTTACTCGGCAAGCCCGCGTTACTACAACATTGAAAAGGCGCGTAGAGCGCTAGGCTATGCACCCATCGTTAGCGTTGAAGAGGGTATTCGTCGTAGTGTAGAGGCAAGTTCCCCATTCAGAGCGTTTAAAGCGCTTCTCAGTTGTGTGCCCGATACCGATACTGACCCTCTCTGTCTTCTGGTCTCCTACTAATTTCGATTCGGTGATAATAGTGGTGGAAGAGCGAACACCCAGAAGACTTTGTCTCTACCAAGGCTTGATGTTCTTCCCTTCCATCTTAATGTACAGCGACAAAGGCCAAGTTGCCTGTTTACCACTGCTCAACAGCCTATCCGCGGCAAACCCGCGCCACACGCAAGTGTATAGACATGCTCTGGTCAACAAATGTAAAGCTTACGAATGCATATATATATATATATATATCCCTGCGACCCCTTGCGGCGGAGTACTGGAAGCCCACCTTCCGAGCAGCTCAGTCAACGCCACACGCGACTGTCATCTGCTCGTGCCTGAATGTTATCCTGGCGTCATGCATCCGCTTTTGAATGGTTCGGAGACTTTCTTACTTTCGAGTCATTGCGACCGCACATCCATTCGGTATCCCGGCCGGATTCACTGGCAATGAAGATGAGGTTGCCGACACCAACAAGACACACGCAATGTATGGAATCGAGCCAGGTGTTTGTTAGGATCGAAGAGAGCGCTCGGTGGTATCGGTCAATTTTCCGGCCTTGGCGCGTCCACAAAATCGAACCGCTCTCCGTCGGAAAGCGGCACCCCAGAATCTCAGCTCGGCCACTTTATCAACACTCTTTCCTTCCGATTGTCACTCGGACCACCACTTGACCTTTAGCCACAGATAACATATATACTTTCCGCACCTCTTCGCTTTCCCCCTTCCCCCTTCCCCCTCCATCCTCTCCATCCCCCCGATCCCCTCGATCCCCTCCCACTTTGACCACCCTGGCTAGTTTGCGACGATGACTAACCTGGAAGAACGTATAGCAGCGCACCAAAACCAACTCAACTCGACCGCGTTCCCTGGATTCGGTCACGCCCTACGACCGTACTACGGATTCGATGAGAACTACGTACCACTGAACAATGGCTCTTTCGGAGCATGTCCTAACTACGTTCTGGATATCTACAAAGAGTTTCTTCACGAAGCGGAACGTAGACCAGATAGGTTTGTTCGTCTTCAATACCGGCCTTATTTGCAACAGGCACGTAAGGAACTTGCCCAGTTGGTCAAGTGTGATCAGGAGGATCTTGTGCTCGTTCCTAATGCCACTAGTGCAGTTAATGCTGTACTTAGGAGTTTCAATGGTAGGTGGCAGCAGGGGGATGCAATTTTAGTGTACGAGACTATTTATGGAGCTTGTGGTAAGGCGGTTCAGTATATTATAGATAGCAATGAAAGTTTTAAACTTCGAATTGTTAAGGTGCCTCTTTCTTATCCTCTTACTCACGAACAAGTGCTTTCGGCAACTCGAGATGCAATACAACATGCTCGTGCAGAGCAGATTACGATTAAAATCGCAGTCGTCGATGCAATCTCCTCGATCCCGGGAGTAATTGTACCATGGGAACAACTTTGCGCTTTGTTCCGTCAACATTCGATCCTATCTCTAGTGGATGGAGCGCATGCTGTTGGACAAATCCCACTAGACCTTTGCTCGGCAGACCCTGATTTTTTCATCAGCAACTGTCACAAATGGCTCTCATGTCACCGCGGAGTAGCACTACTATACACACCCAAACGAAACCAATCATTAGCACTAGCAATTCCCACATCACACGAATACATTTCACCCAACCTTGCCACCCCCCCAGAATTATTTCCTACAAATGCCACTTCGAACTACGTCAGCAGTTGGGAATGGACAGGAACAATAGATCTAGGAAACTACCTTACCATCCCTTACGCCCTCCAGTTCCGTCGCTGGATGGGTGGAGAAAATGCCATCATGCAATACAACTGCAATCTTGCTCTCAAAGCCGGTACTGCTTTCGCATCAAAACTCGGAAAAAATTCCCACCTAATGCAATTTCCAAACTCCTCCTCCTCCCCCTCCAACCAAAGTCTAACCGCAGCAATGGCTAACATTTCAATCCCCATTGCAACTAGCAATGCCGAGCAGGGCGATGCGAATCAGCTTGCTTTTATCGCAGCAAGTTTACAGACCAAGTTGATGCAGCAGCACGATACTTTTGTCATGTTCTACCCTCATGCTGGTAAGGTCTGGGCTAGGTTGAGTGCTCAAGTATGGTTAGAGGAGCGTGATTTTATTTGGGCTGCAGAGAGGATTGCTGAGTTGTTGCAGCAGCAGGAGTTCCAGCTTAAGCCGAGTGCGTAGAGCTTTAGATCAAGCTTGTTTATACATTCAGTTACTAAGATGCATATGTATACACATTTCAACTCAACCAAAGCCGTGTGCAAAGCGCCTTTGTCGACATTGATCGTGAGAATGTCGCAGCCCGAAGTCTGATGACTGTTCAAAGCTTCTAGTCTTAATCGCCTGCAAGCGAAGGTAAAGCTGCTTTCAGTTTGCAGCCAACAATTTCGCAATCTCCTCATTCGCCTCATCCGTCTTTGTCTCAGTAACCTCGAAGGCCGCTCTGGTACCGGCATTGTTCCTGCCCGGTCTATTTACATGTTGTGTATCAACATTACTCACCCAACCGATTTTCCTCTGGTATGCATCTTTCGACCTATCCAAGAGCTGATGCAAATTTTCGTCGGAAATGATCTGGTCGTTTTCGTCTTTTACCAAAAACACCTGTTCGGACTCGAGTGCCAAGAGTTGGCTAGCGATTTCTTTCAGCTCGTCTTCTTTTTTCTTCTTGCCTGTAGGTAGGGAGGATTGGTAGCCGGCAGGAAGACGGAATTTTCCTTGTTGAATGACGAGGGCTTCCAGTTTTCGCTTGTTTCCGGCACGTTTTAGGATCTTCTGCTCCACTGTATTTGCAGAGACAAGACGGAAGATCAGAACGGGCCGAGTTTGACCGATACGATGAACGCGGTCTTGAGCTTGGAGATCCATCTGTGGGTTCCAATCCGAGTCGTAGAAAATGACCGTGTCTGCTGCGACTAGGTTGATTCCGAGACCACCGGCACGTGTGCTGAGAAGGAAGAGGTTGCATGCATCAGCACCTGTGTCTTCGTTGAATGATTTCATTTGTGATCGACGTTCTTCTTGTGGAGTTGTGCCATCGATTCGGCATGTTCGGAGACCTTTGAACTCGTTCGCCCATTCTTCGATAATGTCGAGCATAGTTGTGAACTGACTGAAGATGAGAACTTTATGACCGCGATTGAATAGTTCATCGAGCAATCGGTTAAGCATGAGCATTTTACCCGAAGCATTGATGAGATCTTTATTAACGACAAGTGTGCCCGAGTCGGTATCGACAGGCCAATCGAAAAGGAAAGGATGGTTGCAGATCTTTCGTGCCTGCATAACGACGTTTTCGAGATGCATATTTTTGATCTGCTTTTGCGCCTCGCGGATCGAGTAGAGCTTGCCTTGTCGTTCAGCTTGGGCGGCGGAGAGCTGTTTGGGACGTTTGTTGAGTTCTTGTTCGAGCTTGTCAAAGTAGGTGTGATCGTTCATGTCGTCGACTTGGTAGTTGACGCCTCGTTTGGCTCGGCGATTGGATTGGTGACGGGGGGTTGAGGCGCCGGAAGCGGTCTGCTGCTCGTCTGTATCGATATGGTAGTCAGCCGAAGAGGAGCGGGAAGTTTTGGTGCTCCCATTCTTGGGTGGACGGCCGCGACCACGCTTTGGCTTCTCTTCTTGCTCTTCGCCGTCGCCTTTGCCGTTGCTGATTTGGGCGTGGATGTCGAGACGCTTGGTGGCGGCAGCCCAAGGGTGTGGAGACTGGTTGCGACTCTGTTCTGCAGAAGCAACACGTGTGGTGGGGAGGGAAGAGGAAGCGGTGTTGACGCCATCCGGGTCGTCGAGAATGTCCTGAATCTCGTTCCATGGCAAACCAGACTTGCGCTCGAGCAACCACCTTCGAATCTCTCCGTTGACAACGGAATTGTAGAGCTCCTTCTGCAGCTCGGTCAATGGAGCATAGAGCAAGTACTCCTTTTTGGGTGGCAGGTCGGTCTCGACATCGTTCTTCAATCGACGAAGCAAGAAAGGCTTCAGGATCTCGTGCAGCTGTGTGATGACCGAGGTGCTGTTCTCCTTGGACAAGATGCGAGACGAACCTTGCTCGTCGTGAATGTCAGAAAAGTCGAACCAAGTCTCAAAGGTAGCCAAGTCGTCAAAGATGTCCGGCAGAATGAAGTTGAGCAGCGACCAAAGCTCGGCGAGGTTGTTGTGTAGCGGTGTACCAGAGAGAATGAGTCGATTGGCACTGCGGTAAGTCTTGAGCTCTCGGATGAGACGACAATTGAGGTTCTTCAGACGGTGACCCTCGTCGACGACGATGAACTTCCATGGATAGTTTGCGAGCCACTTGCGATCACGAATGATGAGCTCGTAGCTGGTGACTACGATAGGGAAGTCATTCTGCTTGTCCTTTTTGCTGGGCATACGGAGACGACGGTCACGGATGAGGCGACGCTCCTCAGGATCTCCGTGATACATGACGGCGGGGATGTCGGGAGTGAAGCGCTGGAACTCGAGGACCCAGTTGTTGATGGTGGAGAGAGGAGCAACGACAAGGAACGGACCCCAGACACCCTTCTCACGAAGATGGGCGAGGAAAGAGATGGTTTGTAGTGTCTTGCCGAGACCCATCTCATCGGCAAGAATACCATTGAGACCGTTCTCGTACAAACTGATGAGCCATTCAAGACCGTCAAGCTGATACTCTCGCATTTTGGCACCAGTGACGAGCTTGGGCTGATTGCGACGTCCACCTTGGTTGTTGCCTGCATCTCGCTTTGTCTCGGAGCTATCGGCATCCTTGTCGTGTGAAGCTTGCGTCTTTGACTTCTTGTTGGCCTGTTCCGCTTGCTGCTTGGCAGCTTCGAGATCATCCTCGTCGAGGAAGCTGGTGACGCTCAGTGGCTCGTCGACTTTACGCTTGCGGGTGTCTCTGCGGCGAGACTCGCGTTCTGCAGTGGTGTTGGATGTGGCAGGTTGTTCATTGCCCGTGGCAGCTGAGCGAGTCTTGCGAGCAGGAGCGGCAGGCTGTGGTTCGGAAGGAGCATCGCCATTGGCCTTTGCAGCGTTGCGACGAGCCTGTTGCTTTGCAGCTGCTTCTGCACGTGCCTTTCGCTCCTTCTCCATCTTCTCGCCCATGATACGAGAATAGACACCCGAACGTTGGAGCAAGAACTTGAGCTTGCTGAACCTTTCTTCATGGATAGCTGGGTCTAGATCTGACTCTGCGGCCTTGCGACCTTTATTGCTAGCGGAGCGAGCCATTGAAGACGAGTCTGCTGCTGCTAAAGTTGGCGTTGAAGTAGCCGTCGTAGTAGAGGCTGGCTGAGAGGAGCAAGGGGAAGGGGCGTAGTCCTGATTATCCGCCTGAGCAGCTGCACGGAGAAGCTGTTCGTCGTGTGAGTCGTCGTCATGGTGACGAGTGTCCTTCCCGTTGGTATGTCCACTGGACGCCTTGTTTGTATGAGCTGCCGCCATGACAGACGGGAGCTTTGAGCGGGGATTGCGCAAGCAAGAGGTGTGGGGTTGAGCGGAAAGCAGTGTCTCTTGTACGCTTTCAACTTCTCCAAGAGCGGGAATGATCGCTCTTCCGCGCGGCAGCTGCGAGCAAGACAAAGCCAAAGAGGATTGAGATGTCCGATCGAGATGGTGAGTGGAAGGAAGCGAAAGAGATTGAGCCAGTGCCAAAGAGGAGACGATGGAAGCGGGAAGGAGAAACCAGTTGAAGAAATGAGATGAAAGAGAGAAAGAAAGAGAGACAGAGAGAGAGAGACAGAGAGAAAGAGAGAACGTCAGAGGCAAGCTAGTTCAAGTGCATCTATTCGTACGAGAAGGTGTCGAGTGGAACTGCGCATTTTGCCTTTTCAGAGTCGCGTTGCAATTCTCTCTTCCGCTACTCGCTACTCTATGCGTCACGTGCCGTATTGCCAAAAACGATGTTAGATCAGAAAGAGCACACACGAGGCTGAAAAACCCCCCCCCCCTTTCACACCTGTCAAGAACTGCTCAACGGACCAGTGAGGTGAGTGCAACTTGTACTTCATCACCATGTGTAGCTGCTTTTTTTTTTTTTTTTTTCCACACCATGTTGCATGTTGCATGTTGCATGTTGCATACCCATGCGTATGTTCCTTCGGAGCTATGATGTGCATGCGGTGCTTTGGTCCTTTCTTGCTTCGAACCGTGCTTTGGGCTGGTCGCTACCCGAATGCGACTCCAGTTTACCAGGGGCCCGTGCGGTGCAGAACAAAAGCGCTTGGCCTCTTCAAGCCACCACTGACTAGTCTCTACTGCAAGCGCTCTATCCTCTCCTTATAGTTCTCATAGCTTGACCAATTGGCCAGAAGGATGGCCCTTTGGTTCTGAATCCTCAGCTCGGCTTGGGCTTTTGGAACCATGGTTTTGCGTGCAAGTCTGCTCCAATGTTGAATGCCGACTGCTTATAAGGCTGTTGTCTTGTCTCTTGGCGCCCCTCTTACTTTTTCCTCCTCCTCCTCCTGTCTACTTTCCTTGTACCTTCATCGCTTTTCTCTTCATCGCTCATTGGGTGTTTCTTCTCATTACAGTTCGCCATCATGTCAGCGGCAATGGTCCCCGACCTGGACGCTCCCACCAGAGCGCTTTCGCTCTTGCGTACTATCACTCCTGATGATATGATCTTCCTCCACCGCGGCCAAACTCAAGAACAGCTAGTCAAGGTACTCTACAACATCATGCATGCACCCCAACCACGCAGAAACCGTATCTGGCTCCTCGCCAGCGAATTCCAAGTGATCGTCACTTTCCTCGTCTGTACGGTCATGCTCATCAAAAAGCGTAGCTTGGGGAAACTATGGATCATCACCAAGAGAGACTCTTGCCACGGAACTTTCTACGTAGCCAACGCGGTTTTCGTTCTCGTTGTCGGCGTTGCAGTTTACCTTGTCGCTTGGGGTGTTACCGCTCTTGTTATTGCTGCCTTTTCTTATGCTCATCTTAGCTCGATGGAGTGGTGGTGGGTGATCCCTCTTCCGTGGGTACCTTTGGTGATTGGTGCCTATGTCAGCATTCATGGTTTTGCGGTGGGATGTAGTCCAGGTTCTCCACTTTGCTCGGTGAAAGCACAACACTCGAACCTTGGTTGCAAGTGGTACTATCTTGCCATTCCAAATTGGCCTGCACTCGTCAATACTACCCTTATCCTCCCCTGTGTTTTGTTCTTCATCAGCGCAATCGGCCTTGTTTCGATGTCGGGTTATCACTATTACCATGCCAAATATCTCGCTAGAAAGCTTCTTTCCCTCGAGATCTTGCATGAGATCCATGCTTTGGCTCATAATAAAGCAAAGCCTTTTACTGGTGACCAACTTGTCGCATCCGATCAACTCATCTACACCGCACGTAGAGTCACAGCGGCTTACTTCGAAAGTCATCGTTATGTTTGCATCAACCTTGCCATCTTCGCAGCTGCATCTTGGGCCCTTTTTATTCCATGCATCATCTATGGTTTGCCCAATATCGTCAGTTTGGTGGATCACGTATGTTCTCGTTACCCGGACCCACTTCCACCCAACTGTACCACATTCTTCCAAAAACTACTTTATCTCATTACCAAAGGCAGACCTTCATCCAGCAATAACTCGGCTCAAATCAACTTGGCGACGTGGAAAATGACGATACTAGCTATCGTCTATGTCAATATTTTGGTCTTTTGCATTCCCGCTTTCGCCTTCGTTCCCATTTATATTGTCGCAGGTTCTTATCCGAAGGGCGTGCTAAACGGCGATATCGTTCCCGTTATGACTACAGCCGTGCTGGCTATTTCTTTGATTACAATTGCCAGCTGTACCTTTTTTGCCTCGTTCTGTACAGTTGCCACCTTGGATCCCTTGTTCAGAGCCGCAATTGGCTTGAACGTGATTAGGACGCAGAATCCAAAAGATATTACCGTGGTCCAACATAGGAGTAGACATGAACAGAAGATCGAACTCGGCTTGACTTCACCAAGCATGTTGGTCAAACAACAGGGACAACTGTCTTTGTCGGGGGTTCAGCAAGTCAAACCGCAAAGCGAAAGGATGGTCGCCTTTAAAGCTTCAATGAGCACGATAACAAGTAGAAAGGTGGATGAGGAGGAGGATAAGGAGGAGGATAGAGAGGAGGATAAGATCCAGTATCCCGATTATCCCAGAGAAGAGATTAGACATTTCCAGGTGCATGGGGCTGAGGAGATGGCCAGTCCGAATAGCGACCTTTCTTTTACAAAGAGTTCCATTTGATCGCCAGTGATGCAGCATGCAGAGCATTTGCATGTGGCAAACGAGGTTAGATGCTTTCGGATTACTTTCCTTTTGTACTTACACTCTCTCTCGTTTAACTTGATATATCCCGCCCCTGTTTCGCTTCTCAAAGCCCCATTGCAGTGACCCACCAAGTTGGAGCAAGGTCGCTGCAGAGAGAAGCAGCAAGAATAGCTGTCACAGAACGCACGCAGCAGACAGAATATCAAATCAATATATTACAATCACATCACAAGGTAACGGTTCTCGTTTGGGCCAGCGAATCACCCCTCCTCCTCCTCCTCCTCCTTATCAGAAGACAGCACAATAGCTTTCTTCGCCTTAGCTTTCCTCACCATCCTGCCCCTCCCAGATCTAGCTGGAGGACTTGCTTCTTCCAAAGCCTCTATATCACTTTCGCTTTCTTCCGCCTCTTCTTCCTCCTCGTCACTATCAACTCTTTTACTTTTCTTCCCCGCTTGTCTCTTCCTTTTCCCTCCCACCCCCTCCACCTCTCCCTCCATGCCTCGTTTCCTTTTACACCCCGAAGTCGACCCAACATCTTGTAGCACCAATGCTCCTTTCAAAGCCGCATTGAATTCCTTATCCAACTCTTGCACAACCAGAGTCGATTTAATCGTTTCTCCGTTCGCCGCTGTTGTTGTCCCCTCCCCCTTAGCCCCCGTATCAGCTTCCGCAGCTTCGTCTTTGGTGATGAGCTTAACCCTCTCCCTCCTTTCCATCACCTCCTGATCAATCGTTTCCATACTAATCAACCTCCACGCAAAAACTTTTTTCATCTGACCATACCTTACACATCTACCAATAGCTTGTGTCATCGTCGCTTCGTACTGCTGCTGTTCCTGCTTCAATAGCGGCCCAACAAAAATGACATGGTTGGCAACGGTAAGATTCGACCCAGCCGCCGACTCATCATCCACATTAAGCAGCAGAACTCTCGCGCCTGATTCTTCCTGATACGCTTCGAGAAGGTCCGATCGACGTTTAGCTGTACCCGTGAGTTGGACGAACGAGATTCCATACGCGGATAAAGCCTCAGCTACGGTAGCGGTAAGCGTTTCAAACTGACAAAACACCAACGCGCGTTCCGTGGGCGGGATTCGACGGAGCAGCGCGCATAGAAGGGCAAGCTTTGTACCGTAACGAGTGGCTTTTCCATCATCTTCCGCACCGAGAGAAGAGGCTTGTACGATGGAAGTTGGTTTTGCTAACGCAGCACAGCCTTCCGTAGGGCATTTCCCAATGTAGGCTTCTCGAAGAACGCATTCCCTGCAACCACTGTGTCCGCAGGTGGAGGAAATGCTGACTTCGCTGAGTGGAAGAGGGTTGCCAGAGTGCTTGCACTTGTTGGCCGGGCAGATAACTTGAACCTGGACTCCTTCGAGATGCGCACGCTGACAATCACGGATCATGGTGAAGAAGCGTAATGCGTTGACTCGACCGACAAGCTCGTTGCGCAGGCGAGTAAGTTGGTGGACGAGCGCTCGAAGATGGTACTCCTCAGCCCAAGCAACAGCTTTAGGATCGATCTTGGCTTTCTTCCCACCATCATCGTCAGCAGCGGTAGCATTAGCACCGCCGCCTTTTTCTGCAGCAGCTCGCTCTTTAGCTCGCCTCTTCAGTGCTGCTTGCAGTACGCCGGATTTGGAGAAATGCGCTTTAGCCGCACTGCGAGTGACGGAAGACATAGTGCAGTTGGCGGCATCGAGGATTTCGCGTACCATCTGCTTGGACTCTTTATCGCCCCATGCTGCATTATGCGCGTTTCGCACGTAGTCCGCAAACGCCTGTCGGTTCTCGTCCCGATATCCGAAGTGATGGAGGACCAGAAGATGCTGTTCGAGCGCAATGGGAAGCTCACGCTCCAATTGCTCCCGACAGTCTGCAAGTTGCTTGCGTCGTTCTCGAACAATGTACTCGCACGCTTTGATCGCGTTGTTCACTCCTTCCATCGCATCCAGATCAACACCTGCGAAATCGTCGTACACGGAAGCACGCTTGAGCAAAGCCTCCTCAGGAGAAGCAGAACTACCAAGTGTGTCGATAAGGCGCTGATCACGATGACTCATCTCCAGCTGAGGATCTCCTTGTTTCCGCTTGACCTCCTTCACCACCTTCTTCCCCTTTTTCTTCTTACCCGCCGCACCATCCGAATCATCTGAATCAAGATCATCATCATCGATTAAACTATCTCCACCCTTTGTCCTCGCTGCAGCAACCCTCGCCGCTGCCGTCTTCGCCTTGGGTCTAGCCTTAAAGACCTTCCTCTGATGTCTCAGATCGAGATTCTCAATCGCATGCGCCAGTTCCAAATACAACGCAGACTCAGCAGCAGGCAACCTAATTGGTTTGATCAACTGCTGACTCGGCAGCTCCCCGATCTCTGGCTCGTTACTCCTCACAAATCGATCCAAGAACCTCTGCGCCACCTCCTGTCGCCTATGATGCCAGGCGGGGGAGTGCATCTCTCGGAAGTTGTTGAACTTCTCCGCTGCGGTACGCATCTTCTCGCGAGCTTTGCGGACCGAATCTTTGGTGGTGTCTGCATCATCATCGACACCGAGATGAACGTTGAGAAAGACAGCGATGCTTTTGACATCGGCAAAGTCAGCGGTGGGAGGTGTACCGGAGAGGATCCATTTCGAGCGGGCTTGAAGGGAGGTGACTCCGGCGAGGGTGCGGTCCATGGTCTCACCGATGTAGTGGAATTCGTCGACGATGACTCGGTTCCACATGAACATTTCGAGTGGGGGACAGGTCATGTTGTGCCAATCGTGTTGGACGGAGGATGAGGTGAGACCCCACGGATCAGGGTCCTTTTTGCTGGAAGACTGAAGCTCTTTGGGCAGAGCTTTGCTGTTTTTGCTTTTCTTAGCGGCTGCTTTGAGCTCCTTTTCGTCTTCATCATCTTGCGAATCCTCCTCCTCGCCTTCCTTGCCAACGTTGGCATCCACGTACGCTTTGCCCTTCAACCGGCTTCGTGCCTTATGCGTGGTAAGATGCGAGTCATCAAAGTCAACCTTGGTTCGGACCGAGCGCAGAAGCTGACGGATGTCGCTGTTCTCGCCATCCTCTTTCTTGCTAGTCAGCTCGCGAACACGGTTCTTGAGCGCCTCGAGCGACTTCTTGAGCGCAGCGTTGAAGAATCGACCTGCACGGTTGGGCAGAGGGTTGGACGCCGCAATCGAAGCCAAAGTCTCCCAGTACGCATCCGACTTGTACACGGTGACTGACATGATCAAGATATCACAGTTGAGCACTGTTCTCACTGTAAGCTTGTTCAGCTCTTGCTTGGAAGTGACGACGCGGACGGCGAGCTTGTCGCCGCAGAACTTGCGGACCTCCTTCTCCCACTGCTTGCACAAGTGACCCGGAACAATGATGAGCGTGGCACGAGTCGGGATGTAGGTGCCATTTTCGCCGGCAGGGAGTGCAGGAAGCTCCTTTCGATGCGGAGAAGAGGCGATGAGAGCTAGCGAGATACATGTCTTACCGTAACCAACCGCATCAGCCAACACACCACCACGAACGGTGACAGGTCGAATAGCGCGTCCCTCCGCACGCCAGCCAAGTGGGTCGAGTAGACCTTCCGAAATCTCTTCCTCATGGAACGGCTGCACATCAGCCTCTTCCTGCTTGAGCATCCAAGTAAGCGATCGCTTCTGCTCTCGTCGAAGCTGGAGCGCAAAAAGGTCTGGAGTCGGCGCTTCGGGGTCCTGTCGATTGCTGCAAAGAGTGTAGCGGGGAAGACGGAAAATGTCGATGGAGCGATCGAGTTTGGTGAGACGCCATGAGAGCTCGACAGCACCCGCGTTCTTGGATGGTGGTAGACGCGAAACAGCACGATGCATCAGAGTAGCGGCATTGAGACCGAATCGAACCTGCGCAACGTCGTTCTTGAGACGCAGCTGCACAACAAAGGGCGAGGGACGGTTCTTGAGCGCTTGCTCGTAAGGGCCCGCCTGCATCGTGTTCTCCACAGGCATGACAGGCTTGCCTGGGATGGCGAGCCACTGAATGTCCGGCTCCGAGGGTGCACAAAGAGGACAATTTGAAGTAGCGCAATCGAAAAGATCATGCTTGGCAGGCATCCAGCCATCTAGCGCCTCGACATCTGGCAATCGCTCGACAAGCCAGGCGAGATGGCTAAATGTAGTGTTGCTCTTGTGCAGCAGATCGACTTGGCCCCAAACGCCATCTGCAGGCCAAATTCGGTCCATGCCACGGCCCAGCACGGGTGCTTGACAGGTCAAGACAGCCACCGAAGAGGTGCAGTCTTCCTTGCGCAGATCCAGATGGTAGGTCTGTTTAGGGATGGCCATCTTTCCATCGACACCACTGCCTGCACGCACGCTGAAGGGCTCGACGTTGCGCCAAGCTCCCGAGATGGTGAGCTTGACCTTCTCTTCGACTTGTTCCTTTCCTGGTACTGCGAGGGTTGGTCGCCAGCCGGGCTCGAGCTGCGCAACGGAAACACGTTCGAGCGGGTAAGGCCATCGAGAAGTGTCGGTGGAGAAAACGAAGCGATCGGCAGACTGGTCCTGGAATCGATCGGTGTCAATGAAGAGGAAGAGACGACGGCGGTTGGCAGTATCTTGATCTCCTCGACGAACGTGGAGAGCACCACATGCAGTACCGCATTGCTCTAGCAAGTCGTAGGCTCCATCGATATCAGCATCCAAGAGGTCCCGCACGTCCTCGGGAACAGTGACATGCATCTCCGAGTAGCGGAGCTTGTCTGCAAACTTGCCGCCAAGACCCATCGCACTCTGCCATGTCTGCACCTGCTTGCCGGCGCTGCGGACTGCAACGGTGGTAACTTTGGTGGTGGGAAGACACAGCTGCCACTGTCCGTGAAGGAGATCAACGTTGTCTGCCTTGGCGTCGAGTGGCATACGAGCGACAGGCTGGATGAGCAACTTGCGCAGAGGACTGCCAGCAGGCTCATCGACCGCAGGATCGACGAGAATACGCCAATGAGGCTCAACAGGGTCAAGCATCAGATCGAGACGAGCTCCCGGCGCCGCAAATCGAGCCTGCCACACCTTTTGACGCAGGAGCGACTGGAAGCGGAACTCGGCTGATTCGAGCACCTCGACAAGGCGCTTGCCCCATCGCTTTGCTAGCGAGTCGTCCTGGAACGGCAGGTCCTTCATGAGTGACGTGACAAGATCGTTGCTGAGACCCTTGGCTTCGACACGCATAGGAAGCGCTGCCTTGAGAAGTGGAGCAAAGTCATCCGGAGGCGAGCGAGCCAAGGTGTCCGGAATGAACTTGTGCAAAGGGCGACCCTTGCAAGTCTCGCAAGCGGTGTGGTCGCAGTCGGCACAGCGATGGACAGGAACTTCGACAACACGGCTTCGTCCCTCACAATTGCACAGCTGGGCACTTTTGACCGCTGCTGCAAGCAACTCTGGCATCGAGACCTTCTGGCTAGAAGTGAGATCCAGTGGCTGCGAGGCCAAAAGTTCATCGCGAGCAATGGTGTGATGCTTCTCGTCAGTCACGACCTTGTCAACGACTTGGCCAGTGCTCTTGAGCTCACTCTCGAGCTTCTCTTGCGATGCTGCTTTGGCTGCTTTGGCTGCTTTGGCTGCTTTCCTCTTTTCGCCATCTTGGCGAAGATCATCCATGCCGACGAGTAATGCAGCAAGAAGACAGGCACCCACTACGGTAGAGCTCATGGCGTTTCCTGCAAGATCTTGCAGCTGATCGTCCGTCTCTCGAGTGAGAAGGAGCTCGTCAAGAGGCAGGCCCTGCAGCGATAGAGCCTCGAGTCCGATCAACGGACCACCACGCGAGGTGAGGAAAGGAATGCCTGAAGGTGTAAGACAGGGAGCAATACCTGGTCGCGAAGCTGCAACGTTTCGATCGACGTTCTGAGAGAGCTCCCAAATCTTGGACTTGTAGATAGGATCTTGGCCCATGGCAGCAAAACGAAGTGTGGTGATATCCAACAGATCGGTAACACGTTCAGGCTGACGAACAGCCCACTCGTTCCAACCGTCGTGTGACATCTTACAGGTGCCTCCTTCTTCCCATGCTGTGAGAGGACGAGTTTTGCCGAGCTCCTCTTCATCACGTGCTCGCTCGTGTCGACTTTGACATTTGCTCCAGTCGATGGTGGATCTGCCTTTGCTGAGACCTTCTCCGTGCGCAAACTGGCGACGAACTCGCTGAATGCGTGGGTCATCGGTCGGCAAGAGGAAAGCATCGAGCGGGCTGGATGCCGGACGCATGAGAACGTTGGTGATGAGCTCCCAGTTCTGAGGCAACGAGTTGTTGTTGTTGCGACATGCGAGCAAGTAGCCTCGCTGACGAGTGTGTGGGATGTAGTAGTTCTTAGTGTCAAAGGTGTTGCTGAAGCCAACATCGTAGCCAGCTTCAGCGACAATGGTTTCTGCGACACCGACCCATGGCGCGTTCTTGACATTCTCCAGAATGACCAAGGTGGGCTTGTGACGCATGAGCCACTGGAGCATACCACGAAAGGTGCGTCCACTTTCACCGCCATCATTGAGACCCTTTTTGCTGTTGTTGAGATGGGAATAGTCGACACATGAAGTACCTGCAATCAGGATATCGACGTCACCCGGCACATGGACCAGTGCACCGTAAGCGGTGTGGGCCTTCTTGCCGCCGAGCTCGGTCACGTCTCGGAAGAGAATGGGTGGTGAGAAATTGCGCTCGATGTAGGCCTGCTTGAAAGGTTCGATCTCGCAAGAGAAGACGTGTTCGACCTTGATGCGAATGCCGTGCTTCTCGTGAATGGCACGGCACATGAGTTCGAGAGCCAGCAAGGGCGACTCGGTACCACTGCACATGGTAGCAACACGCAAGGGACGGTCTTTGAGCGTCTTGGCGAGTTCGAGGATGGCAGGTGCACGGTCGATCATGTCGCCAAAGATGTCTGCAAGGTCGTGAATAGGGGGGTAGAGGTTGCTATCGGCCTTCACTTTGACTTTTTGACGTAAGTCGGCGATTTGGGCTGGAGAGGGTACAAACGGCATCTTTCTGAAAGGACGCTGCTGAGCGAACTTTGACTTCCAACTTTTGCCGCTGGAGAAGGAAGGGACTGAAGCTCCTGCGCGGCCTTTGGCACCTGCAGCAGTACTACCCTTCTTGCGAGGCTTTTCATCATGGTCGTCATCAGCCAGGAAATCGTCGTCTTGGAGCGCCTGATGAGATCGCTTGGACTTGTTGGCTGGGCTATCGAAGAGCGAAAACATCTTGTTGCCGTTCTGAGAGGGAGGACCGGTGGAACGCAGAGAGCGTTGGGATGAGGATTTGGGCAGGTTGGAGATGGACCTCAAAGGTGCAGCCTTCTTGTCGCCTACCACAACGAAAGGGTCAGAGCCAAAGAAGTAGCCGAACTTGTTGGGATCTGCGTCCGCTGGCGTTTCTGGCATGCTTGTCGAGCAAGTTGCAGAGCATCGATCGCTACCGTTGGCTGAGATGATGGGAGCGGATGCGTCACTGTCACTGCCGTTCCCGCCATCTTCAACCGCAACAAAGTCCTCGTCCTCGTCCTCGTCATTATCTTTGTCGTCGTCGTCATCGTCGTCGTCGTCGTCTTCTTCTTCTTCTTCTTGTTCAGCATGCTTCTCTGGCTGAAAGTCGTCGTCACTATCAGATACTGGTTTGCGTCGGTGGCGACGTCGTCGGAAGAGGCCATTGTCGTCAGAGAGAGACTCTGTTCCCGAGTGCTCGTGCTCGTGCTCGTGCTCGTGCTCGTGCTCGTGCTCGTATGAGCTGATCTGGACATTGTTGCGAGTGGAAGTGGGATTCGAGGGTTTGAGAGGTGACGAGGAGCCTCGGGTTGACTTTGCGGTCGATTTGAGGATGGAGGGAGAAGCTTGAGAGGAAGCAGCTTTGGCGGGAGATGATGAGGAGGAAGCAGCAGTGGATCGAGTGGCGAAAAAGGAGGTGATTCGACCTTGAGCCCGAGATTCTGCCGCCTTCGTTGGCGTGTTGCTCCTCGGAGTTGCGCGTCCCACCATTGTGACTATAGCAGATTGGCTGAACAAGCAGTATCGGCTGAGCCGAGTGTCAAACGGCAAAGCCGAAGTGCTGACGAAGAAGCTGCGGGTGTGCCGATGAGTGTGTCCAGGTGAGCTTGGGATGGCATCGAAAGTTGGTGTCACGTGGACATGAAGGTAACTGTGGGATAGCTTAGGATGCTATGTTACGCCCAAGTAATGCTGAGCTATGAAGGAGCAATGTCGGAGTGATGCTCAACAAGATCGAATGGCAATGATGCCGGGGAGGGGAAGGAGAAGAAGAAGAAGCTTCTTTGAGGCAAGGGAAAGCGAGCAAGAAACGCGACAGATTCACGCTCTCACTCCAAGACAGACACACCAAGCGCCACCGCGCGACGCGTTGCTGAAAGGCCAATCGGATCAGTCGTACGATACAGAAGCCGATACAGACGCCATGTTAGATTGCGGGTCACTGACTCAAAGGCTTCCTTAGCGCTCCGTGAACAATTCGACTTGTTCTCCTTCTTCTTTCGCCTTCGGATCTTGCGATGTGGCTCGGATGTTTGCCGATAAATGGGTGCGGAGGCGTGGGAATGCAAACTGTGATTTGTGCTTATACAAATTCACCTTGGCCATCTTGCAATGACTGTTCTGCTGCCTGTTGCAAGAGTTGGAGATGCCATGATTCGCCTCCGACTGCCTCTTTTGAGATGGCATTTCCTTGGCGGATGACAGTTCGAATGGCTCTGCTGAGCTGGTCCAGTTGCGTTTGGCTCGGTGGCTGAGCAAGAAGGGGAGCAATCCACACCTCAGACAAGCGAGAGAGAATCGCATCTTTCCCCTCCTCCATACGGGTCGCGATCTGATCGAGACACTCGACGACGTAAGCACTGCCCGCTTCGATTCGTCGCAGTGCGTCGTCGATGCACATCTCTGCCAGCTCCCAGTGTCGGTATAGCGGGACGGTGAGTGCTCTACGCATGCATCCAATCAGCGTCGAGGCTACTACGCTTTCGGGAGACGGTAGAGGCGTCGATGCTGTCTGCGGCAGTGTTGACGCCGCCAGCGAACGAGAGAGCTTGGCGATCGTCCATCCAGATTCGACGGTTGGCTCACCTTGGTTGGTTCGGTCGTCGTAGCTGAGCGCAAACAGCAATTGGACAATGAGGGCGAGCGCTTCGATATCCGTACTAGCATCCCAAGTTGCCGTATTGCAACTGCTGCCTAGAGGTATGCATGGCTGGAAGCGAAGCAGGTGCGCCAACTCGCCGTCGATATCCAAGAAATCAGCCATGTAGATGCCTTCATCCCAACGCTGCTCTTCGAAAGCCAGCGCCACTTGTTCGCGTTTGGCCGGTTCTGTCGAATCCGGATCCGACACCTCGAGTACATTGCCTCTATCCGCACATCCTGCTGGAATGAGAGAGCCCTGGAAGCTGCTCCTGAATCCAAATCCAAACCCTTTTCCCGAAGAGCTTTGCCCTTTCGTCCTGCTAGATGCCGCTGGGGTAGTGATTGCCGCCTCTCCATCATCCTCATTGACCGTGGTCAGTCGTTGATCGCGTAGTGCTTGCTGCAAAAGCGCTTTGGCCGCCTCGTTGGTCCACTCGTCCTCTTGCTTTGCACCCGCACCCGTACTTGCGCCACTTTCCGAGGGCTGAAAGAATCCCTTCTGCAGCTCAGCATCCGCAAACGCCTGCTTCAGCTGATCCTCGGGTAGCAATTGCGGTTGCAGCTGGTCCAATCCTTCAAAATGCTCGCCTTGCTGCGCTTTGGTCAGAGTCACTCGAAACTGCCATGCCTGACTATGCGAGCTGCTCGACGCTGCATCTTGCGCTATCCTCCTCACCAGTTCCTGTGCCGAATGCGGTCTGGTCACAGTACCAGGCAGAACTAGTGGCAAATAGTACGGTTCCACATGAAACCCAAAGATCCTTCCCTCGACAGCAATGTTGGCCCTCCCATCTTCGCTGGTCATGCCCTGACACGAGACGTCGATGTATACGTGATTCGCATCTTGGCACAACTTGTAGTCCGGAATGCTGAAGCCTTGCATCATGTTTTGCAAGCGCTTTTGTGAAAGTGCAGAGTGGTATATAAAGGTGTAGTGGGTGAGTGCGCAAAGGAGTAAGCAAGAAAATTGAAGATAACAATTAGTATACGGCGTTATCGGGGTCACGATCAGACTCCCTTTACCACAGCCGTATGTTCTATATAATGCTTGGTTTTAGTAGTGTGGACCTAAATGACAAACACATATATATACTCCATTCACTGCTCTAGTCCTATCCGAGACAGGATGTGTCACTTCATTCATACTCCTGTGTTGCTATGATACTGAGTGCCACTGAGCTGTCACCATGACAACAGTCATGTACCTCATTGTGCTTCTCACTTAAGTAAGCCTCCTGCACCTCGGTGTCTCGGCCGTGACACGTGCATCTTGCTTGAGATGCCGACGCATCTTCAACTCCCCCCTTCAGCGGGATCTCCAGCCCTATCATCCTAGCCAATCGTGAGGTGTTGAGACCCTGTAAAGGTTTTGTCAAGACATCTGCAACGTTGTTTGCTGTTCCGACATATTTGATTGCCACATCGCCCTCTTGCACGTGATCGTGGACGAAATGATACCGTGTGTCAATGTGCTTTAACTTCCAATGTTTGGCTGGATCTTTACTCACCTGTATGCACCCCTGGCTATCTGTGTATAGCACAGGCCGAACGTCCGTGATCTCCAAGTCCCGGAGCAAATATGAGAAGAACAATGTTTCTCGCACTGCTTCGGAAGCAGCGACAAACTCTGCTTCGACTGCTGACAATGCCACACACTTTTGAACGTGAGATTTCCAACTCACTGGACATCCATACACATATGTTATCGACCCCGAGGTGCTCCTTCGTCCATTTGTGGGGTCGGATGCCCAGTTTGTGTCAGTATACGTCGTTACCGGTGTATCCAAGTGCTCGTTTGTCTCCCCTCCTAAGTGCAACTGATATTCGTTCGTTTGGTTCAGGTACTTTACCACATGAATGGCTGCCTTCCATGCACTGTCGATCGGGATCGACATATATCGTGACAATACGCCAACAGCAAAGGCAATATCTGGTCGGGCTGTGTTGGAGACCCATAATAGTTGGCTGACCAACTCTTGATACTTCTTTGCTCGCTGAGGTTCACATCTCTCGCCTCCGGCGACGTTCGCTACGCTCAGCATGGGTACCCAAGATTTCTCGTTTGCTCCTCCTAACCATTTGTTCACCATTTCTTTGATGTATGCCGTTAGGTCCAGAAATATCCTCTTCCGTCTTCTATCACGTGTGATCTTGATACCCAGAAATTCTTTGATCCTTCCGTTGTCTTGCGTCTCCCATTTGTCCATGATCTCTCGCTTAGTGCGGTCTACTTCATCACGACTGGGTGATGTTATCAGCATGTCGTCCACGTATGCTGTGATGATCGTGATCTTGTCGCCTGTCCCTCTTGAGTATAGGCATGGTGCGCTCGGCATGCAATGAAATCCGATCGTCCGGAGATGTGAGTCTAACTCAATGTTCCATTCTCGGCCCGATTGTTTCAGACCGTACAGTCCTTTCACTACCTTCAACGCTTTTCCGGGTGGTATTTTGATTCCTACTGGGGGCTTGAGATATACATCATGGTGTATAGTGGAGTTCAGGTATGCTTGCTTTACGTCAATAGAATCTATTTCCCAATCTCGTACTGCTGCGACAGCGATCACCCCTCGAATGGATTGGATGGGTGCTACTGGTGCGAAGACCTCTGTGTAGTCGATGCCCTCGCGTTGGGTGAAACCTCGTGCCACGAGCCGGGCTTTGAACTTTGTCGGCACGAGGTTTGCATCGGTTTTGATCTTGAGTACCCAACGTGTGTCGACGGTGTTTGCACCCTTTGGGAGGTCGGCTATCTCCCATGTGCCCATCGCCTCCAATCCATCCAGCTCCTTTCGCATGGCCTCCTCCCAGTGCTTTCTGTCTTCTCCACTCATTGCTTCATGTATGGTTGGGTCCAGGTTCTTTCTCCCTTCCGGTCACGTCGCTACGAGTCCAAAGAATTCGCTGTCAATCTGAGTTTCGGCAGTTGATCCTTGTTCCATCACCTCCGCTGTTCCTCCGCTTAACCTTTCTTCCAAATCTGTCTCCATATCCATGTATTCTTGTAGTGGCCCTTCATCTGTTTCGTCGAATATATTTTCTTTGTTGTATCCTAGATCTTCGAAATTCTCTTCTGTCATCATCACTGGAGGTGCCTTTGTGTCAACCGGTCGCCATTCTGTTCTGTCTGACCAGCACTTTGATTCCATGAATTTTGCTGAATTGCTCCAGAACATGTTCGGATTATAGTCTGGACTGTAGAAGAGCCAGCCCTTTCTCTCTAGACTGTATCCCAAGAAAATGGATGTGACGGCTCGCTGGTCCAGTTTCTTGTTGTCCCGTTTGACTTTGGGTATGTTTACCCATGCCAGACAACCAAACACTCGTAGGAGCTTTAAAGCTCATTCCGGCGACTTGCCAAACATTGCTTGATAAGGGAATTCATTATCAATGCTCGGAGTGAGGTTTATTTTGAACGCTGCAGCTCTGATCGCGTATGGCCAGAACTTCTTCAGTAGTCTCCTCTGCATTAGCAACGTTCTCATCTTCTCTCCAAGGGTCCTGTTCATTCTCTCTACCCGTCCATTTTGTTTGCTGTTGTACCCTACAGTGGTTTGCCACTCTATGCCCTTTTCTAGCGACCATTCTAATGCATCATTGCTTTTCCATTCCGTTCCTTGATCGGATCGGATCGCTTTTAGCTTCCGATCCGTCTGTGTCTCCAGGAACGAAACAATCCTTTTGAGTTGCATAAACGCATGACTCTTTCGTGTCAATGGCTGTGCATACACATACTTGCTATGATCGTCGACCAGCACCAACATGCATGTGTACTCCGTCACATGGGACGAGTCTATTATTAGATCGACGTGGATAAGATCCAGGGGCCCTACGGCTCTTTCGCCGCTACCTTTCCCCATCCGAGCGCTTGTGCTCTTGGATCGTATGCACTGCTCACATGTCAGAGCAGTGTTTGGATCCAATTTCATGGTATGCTTATCTTTTAACTTGCTCGTGATCGCCTTAGCTTTATCTCTTCCTGGGTGTCCAAGACGCTCATGCCATAGTTGTTGCTTTGAAACTTTCGGCTCATTCTTAATATGCTTGAACTCCTCATCAACACCTTCAAACAATGGTGCTGATGTGGCCATCGCGCTTTCTTGCCATGTGTCGCCTCGGAACTCCAAAAGTCCTCGCTCGCGATTCTTTGCAATCTTAAGTGTCATGCCGTTTGTTAGAAAAATTTGACCACCGGTTGTGTCCAATATCACTTGTGCTCCTTCATCCGTTAATGAATTCGTTGACAGAAGGTTAACATTAAGATGCTTCACATACAATACATTTTGTAGGGAGATTTCCCTGTAATCTGTTGATATGCTTGCATCTCCTATAGCTGCCGCTTCCAAGACCTCGCTTCCGGCAGTAATTATCCGCTTTCGGCAAGTTCTCGGGTGGATGAGCATGCTGTAGTTGTTCACCATATGATAACTCGCCCCCGAGTCCAAGATCCAATGAGCTGTTTCTTTTGTGTTCGAGGGGTCTTGCCATTTCAATGGGAGGGTGAGGGAGCACCACACTTCCTATTTAGGTTCAGCGAGGGGGGAGTCTTTGGGAATGGTGACCAAGGCGTCGCATTGACTAATACCATGTCCCGGTCGCTTGCAGATCCAGCATCGGATTCAGCGTGGTCTGCCTGCGTTCCTCGAGCTCGCGTGGCTGTTGTCGGCTTCGGCTTCGGTCTCTCCGGCCCGTTCATTTTGATCGTCATTGCTGGCGGTTCTAGCGCTGGCTTGTTGGGGGTCGATCTTTTGTGTGGGGACACTCTCGACAGCGGTCTGCCAGATACTTAGTGCGGTGGCAAGGGTGTTGAAATCGATTTGATGAACGGTGGCAACCGTCTCCTTATACACCGGATGCCGGATCGTGCATTTCTGCAGAGCCGAGAACAATGTATCATCGGCGAATGGTTTGCCGAGGAGGCTGCTTTCAGTCTGTATGGACCGGATCTCTTGAATTAGCTTTCTGGCGTCCAAGTGAAACATCTTTGTATCGTTGAGCTGCGAGATGAGCACAAGTCTGTGAGACGTCTTGGTGGCTTCATTCGTGAGACCGTTTTCGATCTTTCTCCATACTTGGTTGAAAGTAAGGTACTCCTTGATTACATCTAGAACGAGGTAATTTACATTGTATTCCCCGGTAGTGTCAATTGTTCCAAGCAGGGCGTTGATTAAAGCATCATCGAGGGAGTGGCTCCATTTCAGGTGCTTCTTGTCGTACGTTCCCTCGAGATGTTTCATCGCATGGGGCATGGATCAGAGGAAAGATTTCACGTGAGCGCTCCAGCTATAATAGTTTCGTGACGTGAGCTTTGGCACGGGTTCGAGGAGCTTTGCTAGGGTGTGAAAGTTATATTGCTTGTCGCCATCATCAAAGTCGGAGTCAGAATCGGTGTCTTCGTCGGCTTCATTGTTGATGGCCTCCGGCTTGTTCTCGTTCGTGGCATTATTGTCAACCCGAACCTGGGTGTTCTTGCCCTTTCTGCTTCCTTTGGTCCTTGTTTCGGTGTCTTCTACCATGGTTGTCGACGAGTTTCGGTTAGCTCGGTGATAGCTTCTTCAGACTCTTAATCAATTGAAGATAACAATTAGTATACGGCATTATCGGGGTCACGATCAGACTCCCTTTACCACAGCCGTATGTTCTATATAATGCTTGGTTTTAGTAGTGTGGACCTAAATGACAAACACATATATATACTCCATTCACTGCTCTAGTCCTATCCGAGACAGGATGTGTCACTTCATTCATACTCCTGTGTTGCTATGATACTGAGTGCCACTGAGCTGTCGCCATGACAACAGTCATGTACCTCATTGTGCTTCTAACTTAAGTAAGCCTCCTGCACCTCGGTGTCTCGGCCGTGACACGTGCATCTTGCTTGAGATGCCGACGCATCTTCAACTAAGAAGCTTTGAACCAAGTTTTGCAATCCTTTCCCCAGGAGTGCAGATTTTGGTTGCACCCTTGATCGCTCATTTTTTATTTATTTTTATTTATTTTTATTTTTATTTTTATTTTTATTTTTATTTTTATTTTTATTTTTATTTTTATTTTTTTGGGCTTCGGTGGTTTGGACGGAGAATTAGCAAGGGCTTGCATTGCTTTCTATGCGGATGAAGGATAGACATCTGGCATTGATGAAATGCTACAGACGCAAACGTTGGTTTTGTTTTCTCTGCACATTCGTTTGTAGAGAGTCAAGCTGGTACTCGTATAGCATCTCACAGCCAAGGCGCTTTTCTAGACTATGACTTGGATCTCGACTGCATTTTGCGATGCGAGTTATTGTTTAGCCAGTTCTCTCAAGCGTAAAGCTAAATCTTTAATCAGTTGTCCTGCTTCTTCTGCTACTGCATTCTGCCCTCCCTCGCCCTCCTGCTTTACCGCCGCCTCTTCCTCTCTCTCCTCGTCCAACCCGTCTGCTTCTCTCGTGGCTTCACTTTGTCCAGCAACCAACGCAGCTTGGTGTACAAGCGCAAACTCTTCCACTGCATCCACCAACTCCCTCAACCCCCCCAAACCCGACCCTCCTTTCTCTTGCCTTTGCTCATCCAACACCCTCCTGCACAACTCTAGACTTTCCTTGCCACCAACTGCAAACTGTGCTAGAGCTGTCGCAATTGAATTCGACAAATACGCTGCATTACTATCATCGTGCTCTCTCGCCGCGTTCCTCGTTTCGAACAAGACTCGTGCTAGCGTTGCTAGCGCTGGGGAACGCGATGTGCAGTTGCAGGAGATGGGGGTGCAAGTTCTACGACCCCAGCAGGAAGGGTCTATTTGGATGGATTGCAAGGTGTTGCTTGCTTTAATTTGTTGTTTGATGAGCAGATTGGTGAGGAGAGCTAGGGTTAGGTGTTGAACATCATCAAACAAACCTGCGTTCAAGGAGGTCGAGGTTTGGCGGTGAGAGGTGGCACAGCGATGGCTGAGAAGAAAAGCTCGAATGATTAATGTTCCAAGCGGAAGGGAGTTGGCGAGTGATTCGCTCCAATTGGCGTCGACTTGACTTAGGTCTAAGAGGGTTTTGAAGAGTGCATGTAGGACTTGCAGTGCTCTGGTTGACCAAGCGGTCAATTTTTGGGATGGGACGTCTTGAGGAGGGGAGCCAAAGGGTGCTGCTTGGACAGCAAAGCTGATGAGGTTTTGTAGCGCGTCTAGAGTCTCGTTCGAGGCAGGGACAGCTTGATCGAGTTCGAGATAGAGAATGTCCATTCCTTTGTCGAGGAATCGGATGCAGACGTCGACTGTTTCCAAGTCGGGTACAGCTTCGACTGCAGTAGGTGTGACAAGTTGGAGGCCTTTGCTAAAGTCGACTAGTCGTTGTTGCGCTTTTGCACCTTCTGCTACCAGAACGTTCAGGACAGTGGTGAAAAGGGATGGATGAAAGCCATCATCGGCTGTATCGTCATCGACCAGAAGATCTTTGATCGCGGCATCGCTCAAAATGCGACGAGGCAGCGCGATTAAGGAACAGCAAGCTGCCAGCACCAAGTTGCGCAGTGTCCAGCTTTGTGCACCAGCGACAAAAAGCTTCGAGATGCGTGCGATGGCTCGAAGTTCACCCAGCGTTCTTCTGTCCGACTTGGAGGCGATTTTGTGCTGTTTCAGCTCGTGCAAACGAAGCAGTGCGAAGCCGTCTTTGCGAGATTGGCGTTCGGATCGATCCGCTCGCAGCAGAACTTCTCGAAGCGTAGTGAAGAGCTCGCAACATCTCTCGCGTGTCAAGGGCTCGGCAGAAGATGGTGACTTTAGCAGCTTGGCAATGTACACAGCTACAGCGGCATCGAGAACACCATCGACGCCTTCACCTGCTTCTGCGCCTCGGAAGAGATCTAGCAAGCGTGCGATGAGGTCTGACGCTTTGAGCTTGCGCAAGAACTCGGCCGATTGAGCCGAAACCAGTGGATCTTCAGCTTCTTCAGCTTCTTCTTCTTCTTTTTCTTCTTCTTCCGCATCATTGTCGTCATGACCAGCAGCATCGTTGAGACTGTCGATATCGGGCTTGCCGCAAAGCAGACGAACGAGTTCTACCGCTGAACTTCTACGAATGGAGAGAGCCTGCGATGGATCGAGGCCAGAGAAGAGGTATTCGAGATCATCGTTGAAGCGTCGAAGCTCGCCGGTGGAGCGAAGGGAGGTGATGGATTTGAGATTGAGCGTTGGATCTTGCGATTCATCCCATTCGATATCATCGGCACCCTCGCCCCATTTCTTTAGGAGTTCAGCATAGCTCTCGCGAGGTGCTGCCGTCGCTGAATCTGCGAGTCGAGATGCGACAGAGGGGGATGGTCGACTTGTGTGATTGCTCGAGGTACTCGTGCCATTGCCTTTGAGCTCGGCTTGGATCTCGTCTTCAATACTACGAGATGCGCCATTCGATTTAGATGAAGGATCGAAGAGCAGATTTTCCTCAGCCTGGTCAGCAAGGAAGCTTCTTTGCAAGCCGTAGGTGCGCCTGGCGTTTGCCGCCGACGTCTGCTTGATTCCAGCGAGCCTAGGAGCACTCATCGCTGAGCTCATCCCTTCTTGTGACTGGCTATCAGCTTGCGACGCGGCATCGATGGGTGTTGAGCCAGCATCTGACTGACGGCCACTAGCCGCGTCGTCCTGCTTTGCTTTGATCGATGCTGCACGATCTCCATCCGAGGCAAACAAGCCAATGGAAGTAGCTTCTGACACTGCTGATGGTGCCGTCTCCGTCCTTCGCAACGATCCTTTGCTCGAATTGAAAAGGCTTTCTGCAACCTCATCCGCCTTGGACTTTGTCGATCGTGCAGCTCTGGGTGCCATCCTGTCAGCCATACGTGGCCGCTTGGAAGGGCTTGTGAGCGTACCTGGAGAAAGTAGCTCTTCTTCAGCAAGTTTCGATGATGGCAGGGTAGGCGAAGCAAGAGGACTGTTTGCAAAAGCAGGCGCTGTATCGAGCAAAGTATCGTTGACATCACGATGCAGTTGTGCAGTAGGCTGACTCTCGCTTCTGGCAAACGGACGAGTCGAGCGTGGCAATGTGGGCTCGATGGAGTCAAACAAGCCGGAGAGATCCTGTGCTGGCCTGGAGGGTGTTCGAGACGGTGCCGCTCGTTTGCTTGGCGAGAGTGCAGAGGGGGTGACTTTGCGAGGCGATGAGCTGGCACTCCTCCTGAGTGGCAGTTTTGACGATGAAGCATGGTTGCTTTTGGTGGCTGATGGCGAAGCAGCTCGGTGCGGTCGTGGTGGTAGCGAGCTTGTCGAGCCGAGGGCGGTGGCTGGAGTGCGCGCGTTTGGAAAGATGCTCGGTGTTGAGAGGGATGCTGGGATGTGCGCTGTAGGGGTTATAGATGCAGATGATGTTGCAGTGGGAGATCTGGTGGATGCGCCGTTCAGTGTCCTTGGCGGTGGCTGCGTGCTAGGCGAGATGGTGTCAGCGATTGGCTGAGTGGGCATTCGATCGCGAGGACTCTGTTTCAACGGCCGGCAAGGCGAAAGTGCGCCGTCCTCTGCGTGTGTAAGGCCTCTTGGAGTGTCGGAAGGACCGGCTGGTTGGTCATCCTCATCGGAGGAGCCGCTTGAACATCTGGCGACGACATTCGGACGCTCCGTGGCTGGAAAAGAGTCGGCGCTGCCATTCGCGCCACGGCTGCGCTTGCCATAAGTGACCGCAGTCGGCTTGCGCCGCAGCAAAGACGAGAAGTCCATCCTTGGACGCCTGTTGAGCCTTGCTCGGTGTAGGGTTGGAGTGTTAGAGAGCTGCGCCGTATGGCATTCCGGCGTCTAGAAACATGCGCTGGAGCTAGTGGCGTCTCTCTCTATGTGCCGCGCTGGCCGATGGTGTTGGATATGGTCGTAATAAAGAGGACAAGTTCTGGTCGGATTGGCCGAAGGTGATGAGTTCTAAGTCACAACCCCCCGGAGTTGGAGGGAAACAAACCTTTCTTGACGAAGCCGAGAAGCCGACAAGGAGGAAATTCCCACGCCCGCGTAACCTCTTCTTCCTCTTAACTATCACGCATTGTCAAGCTTCGGAAGGGGCCGATGGGCAGTCTACGCAGCGAATGAAGGCTTGTTGTGACTTTTTTTCCTCTCTTCTCTCTCTCTCTCTCTCTTTTTTTTTTATTTTTTTATTTTTTTTATTTTTTTTATTTTTTTCTCAGGGTCCTGAAGATGCAGTCTGTACTTTATTCGATGCAGATCGGGATAGAAACAGAGCAGGGAACAGGCCTGGTCAGCGCTGCAAAGAGCCCGATTTAGCCCGTTCTTAGCCATCACGTGCAGCGACAGACGCGTTCTTGCGCCAAAATCCAGCTTGAATCCAACACTAACTTGCTCTTGCCAGAAGTGGAAATTCAATTGTGACCGGCACGGTGTGAATCATCTCTTCGGCTTCGCACCGACTGTTCACCTTTCACCTTTCACCTTTCACCACCGCCATCTACTCTGCCGCTGTCCGTGCGCAGCCAGGACGACATCACAAACTCTTCCCACGCTATTGTCGGGCCATCCGTCCGGTCAGCTCTTGGCCTGAACTGAGCCACACTTGCTCCTCCTTCGCACTCCCGACGCACCTGCTTTCAAACCAGCTGAACAGAGCCATCCAGCCGGCGCTCTCAGTCGTCATGATGCTCTCCGAAGAGGATCGACTGGCTTCCTTTGCCACCGCCTCGTCATCCACATCAGCAGCCAAGAAGAGGCAATCCACAAAACCAACAGCTTCCTCTTCTTCCTCCTCCTCCTCCTCCTTCTCCTCTTCCTCCTTACTCCAATGGCCACATCCCGTCACGGCCCGCAGCGCCAAAGCATCAGGCATTCCAACACCTGCCATTCTCGCCAAGCATGGCTTCTATCACGCACCCACATCAGCAGCGCTCGACGCCGTCTCTCACTTCCTCTATCCACATGTACAGATCGACAACTGGCAAATGGGCGACGATCCACTTAGTCGACTCGAGTTGGCACTACCCAACAACGGATGGTGTCGAATCTTTCGCAGCCATGAAGAAGCTACTTTGCACGAGGAAAGCGGCAAATGGATCTTTGAAACACCAGAACTGCTGCCAACGAGCAAGGAGATGATTCAAGCGCGAAAAGAAACCTTCGGTAGCAACTGGCCCTATGATGGCAAGAAAGGTTGGAAACCAACTAGCAAGAAGCTCGCAGAAGCAGGCTTTTACTTTACACCGAATCAAGAGGAAGCCGACAATGCCAAGTGCATCTACTGTGGGAAAGCGCTGGGCGGTTGGGAGAAGTCGGATGATCCCAATCACGAGCATAAACGACGTCATCCCGAATGTGCCTTCTTCAATCACCAGTTGAGAGAGCCGGTGCAGCAGGAGGCAGCTCCAGTTGAAGAGAAGGATGAGGAGCAAAAACCTCTTGTCGCAACCAAGAAGGGAGGCAAGCGTGCTGTCTCTGCGACAACACGGAAAGCGTCCACCAAGATCAGAAAAGCAAACAAGTCTACGGCAGCAGCAGCACAGGATCAAGATGACAAAGAGGAGGAGGACGACAACAACAACAACAACAACAACAAAGATGTTGAAGCCAAAGTTGAACAAGAGCCGGTGGTGCCTCCAAGCAAGGCTGGTCGCAAGGCACGCAGCGTATCGTCAAAAAAGACAGCAGCAAAAGCCGAGGTTGAGCAAGAAGAGGCAAAGGAAGCCGAACAACCTGCAGCAGAAGTGGAAGAGGTGCCGGTCAAAACTCTCAGAACCAAGAAGAGCGCTACTGGTCTCGGCAATGGCAATCAAGCAGCTCCAGCTCGGCCATCGCGTGCTGCAAGTCGAAGAGCTACCAAGGCCATCGAGATCCTCTCAGCAGATGCTGATGTTGATCGCATTCCTCGCAGACCCGATAAGGAGGACCTCGAGAAGCGAGAGTTGACATTGTCGGATCCGATTCCATTCCCTTCATCGCCCAACGACGACGACGACGACGAGGAGCCAGCACCGGCAACGGATCCTGTCGGCCCGCCAGCTAAAGCAAAGAGGAGTCGATCCAAGTCCAAGAAGCTCGACCAGGCTACGACACCCAAGGAGCCTACTCCCGAGCCTGAACCGGAGCCAGAGGTCGAAGATGATGATGCAGCGCCAATGCAGGAAGACAAGACCATCGTTGAGCATGACGCATCCGAAGTCGAGGAGGAGGGAGGGCCGGAACCTGTCGAAGAGCCAAAGCGAAGAGGTGGACGAGCTGCCAAGGCAAGTACAGTAGCGAGCACTTGCACCAAGACATGGTCGACTGCAACAAGATCGCGTAAAGCATCTGCAAAGGTTGCCGCTGCAGTCCCTTCATCACCAGTCCCTTCATCACCAGTCCCTGCATCACCAGTCCCTGCATCACCAGTCGAAGTCGAAGTCGAAGAGGAGATGGGGTCAGATGGCGCATCCCTCCTCGCATCCGAAGCAGAGGTTGAATCGGCACGTCAACGCTCCACTTGCTCCGTCTCAAGCGCAATCCCCGCCGTTCCTAGCAAAAGTAAAACAATATCCTCGTCCTCGAGCGATCTCGCTTCAAGCACAAGCAGCCGCAAGCTCCCAACATGCTCGCCCTCGTCGTCCTCAACCAAGCGCGGCGCATCGAGCACCAAGTCAACGCCTCTCGCCTCGGAAGCAGACACGGAAGTCGAGCTGCTGACCAACACTGGTTCTCAAGCCACCATTCGTGGCACACGTCGATCCTCTCCGCTTGCATCCAGCAGCCCTCGGCCTCGTACCAGTTGTCCACTCTCGCAACTACCTCAGCTGCCAAGGTTGGACCTGGACGAGGCGCAAAGGGCAATGACGTTGGGCGAATGGTTGCAGATGAAAGCAGAAGCTGCAGCACAAGAGATGCGCGACCAGGGTGAAGCTGGATTAACCGAGTTGGACAAGAATGTGCGATTGGGTCGGATCGAGATGGAGAGACGCTTGAGAGGCAGAGCATAAATGCCAGTGCACATTTCATTCGGTTCGGTCCTGTCACCCTCTTTTACGCAAGCAAGGATGTCGGTGCTTTTCACATAGCATGCAAGAGTGCAAGAGTAATTCCGAATGGAACTCAACATTCTGTGATGGTGCGAATCACGTTGAACTCGGTAACAGCGATACATTATGTTTGGCATGATCTGAACAAGGGGGTCTACTGCTGAAGCCATAAAATGAGGGCTGAGGGTTTTGCTTTGCGCGGATGGATTGTAACGAACGAGGCGTTGATTAGACTTGCTTAGTGCTTCCCGCACGATACATCTCGCTTTTTTCAGATGAACAGGATTGCTGTTAGATCTTTCAACTCGAGTGGCAGTTGAGATTTCGGTTAGATTCGGCAATCTCGATGCGAGCTCGCACTTCTTTCTTCGGTTTGGTCAAGAAGGGTTTGAGAACGGTTTGCTTCCCTCCAACTGCGGGCGATCTTCGTAGGCTTTCCCAACTGGCTCAGCACAAAGGACAGCTAAGCGATAAACTGGTTAAGAAGCAGAAGATCTGAAGAAAAAAAAAAAGAAAAAAAAGAAAGAAAAAAGAAAAAAAAAAAAAAAAAAAAAAAAAGAAAAAATGCAAATGCAAATGCAATCCAAAAGGACATCCACAACAATCCTGATGCCGAACGATGCAATGCGAAAACAAGATACAAGGCCAACCTGCTCAGTTGAGTCAACTAGTCGCAGCGGAATGGGTATGATCATTCTTACTCCCCTCGTCACACAAAGCAACACCCATCAACCAAGGATCCTTCAATACATCATCCATTGTCCATCTTGCCTTTGGATCGGGAGATAACATCTTCTTCAACAATGGTCTACATTCCCTCGGGCTTAGATTCGACAAGGGTGAGGGAGCTGGCGAGCAAATATACTGTTGAGCATAATCCTTAAACGTTGGATCCGACATTTTCGCCACTCTCCAAGGCAATTCCTGAAACTGCATACAGTAAAAAACTACTGCTGCAGCCCAAACGTCGACCAATCTGGCATCGTATTCCTTCTTCTCAAACTGTTCCGGTGCGATATAAGGTTCGGATCCACAAAGTCCTTTCGAGTAGTGCGTGGATTTTTCCCAACACATCCTGAAAACGTCGGAAACGCCAAAGTCGGTGATCTTGATGTGTCCATGTCCATCGAGTAGGAGGTTTTCCGGTTTGATATCTCGATGAGCAACTCCCATCGAGTGTAGATAAAAGATGCCGTTGAGGATCTGCTTAAAGTTGCATTCTACTTCGGCTTGTGACATGCCACCACGTTTGATAGCAGCATAGAGATCACCACCGGGACAATACTCCATCACTTCACACCAGTGCCGGTTTTCGTCTTGAACCAGATCGACGGTTTCGACAATGTTGATATGGTGCAAGGTGGAAGAGATGCAGAATTCAGAGGTGAGTTTCTTGACGTATTCCTTTTCGGTTTCGTTCTTGCGACGCTTTCGGAACTCTTTGACTGCGTAGAGCTTTTCCGTCGATCGATCCCATTTGTGAGCAAGACGAACAACGGCAGTTGCACCTTTTCCGATAGCAGCTTTCTCGCAAACTCCGTACTTTTTGAGCAAACTGGCAGTTTCGCCGCCTGCAGTGCTACCGCCTTTCTTGCTACCTCCATCCGACTTGTTACCGTGGCTGGCACTGGAACCGCGTCGACTGAGCTTGGGAGCACTACCCATGATCATTTCACGCAATGTAGAGGAAGCGGTCGACTTGGCATCGCCATCTTTACCACGATCCGACTTTTTGCTGGAGGAGGACTTGTCAGGCTTACCCTTGGCATCCCAATCACGCAGTGCAGCGACAGTGAGACGATTTCCTTCGCTGGCACCATCTTTGGCACCGTCGCCCTTGCCATCCTTGCGTTTGATGGAAACGTTGCGACTGGCTGGCTGACTGCTAGGAGGGCTGGTGAGGTTCATCGACTGGTAAGCGTTGTTGAGAGCTGGCTCGTCCATCTCGTTGCGAGGACTGGTAGGTGGCGTGGAGCCTCGACTGAGCGAAGGAGATCGCAAGGGAGAAATATGACCGCTGCCCTGCCGACTGGCGGCGGTGTGAGGCGATGGGCGTTCGCGGCTAGGGCTGGCTTCAGCTTCCTTTGATGCCTTGTCCTTGTCAGAGTAACCGGCGGCGCCGGAGAGCATGCGTCGGAACATGCCCTTGGATTCTTTTTCTTTGGGCTTTTCGACCTTGTGCTCGACTCGACTGCTGGAGGCAAGACGAGTAGGCTCTACAGGTGGCAGAGGACGCGACTGCTGTTGCTGTTGCTGTTGCTGTTGCTCAGGAGCACGGGCATCTTGAGCGGCCGAGTTGGCAAAGGTGGCATTTGTGGCAGCCGAGAGCGTGTTGTGGCTGAGCTTGGTGGAAGCCGGAGCCTTGCTAGGCGACATGGCACGCGGTGGAGGCGAGGAAGGACGCCAAGCGATGCGAGGTCGCGACTCATCTGCAGGAGCAGCAGCAGTGCCAGCGGCGGCACCGGTGGAAGGAGGCCTTGAGGAAACAAGGGAAGGAGGATTGGTGCTGTTGGCTGAACCATCGAGCTGACCAGCGAGCTGAGCAAAGCTGGGAGTAGGCAAATGGGCACGAAGGTCGTAAGGGCTGTTCTCGCGAGTGAGCTCTAGACGTGCGGTGAGAGCATCGGGACGGTCGGCATCAAGACCGTGTTTGACCATGGTCTGATCCTTGGCCTGGAGACCGCTGAGACGGTGCTTTGGGAAGCGATCGCGGTCCGGAGAAGGGGGACGGGAGAGATTGGACTCGGTCTCGCTGTCGGAGAAGACGAGCAAGTCGCGAGCACGCATCTCGCGTTCTTCGGTGGGGATACGGACACTGCCATCGCGCATAGCAGCTTGAATGCGATCCGAGTAAGGAGTGGCCATCAAGGGCTTGGGTTCGCAATTGGCTAGCACGACGGATGCCTTGTTAGCGCCGGGCTTGAGAGTTGCAGTAGAAGCAGTGGTGGTAGAAGGAGTGGTGGTAGAATCGCGCGTTTCGGCGGGTTCCTTGGGAGGATTGCCGCCTTCTAATGTGACCTCTTCGTTGTTGTTGTTATGTGTAACAGTTTCCGCCATGTTTGCTGGAAAGGAGTGTGTTCGGCGAGAGGTGGTGGTGGCGAGAGGACGAGTGATTGTTTCTAGACGAAGGATGCTATCGGTCGGCAGGATCACTTGGCCGAGTCTTGTCTGGTCTTGTCTGGTCTGTATGCTATCTCCCGCTTGGCAACGGATGAACGGCAAGAAGCAAAAGGCGTTGGAGGATGCGGCTTGAGTGTCGGTCTGTAGAGTGTCGAGGTCGAGGTTGTAGACGATGGATCTGTGCTTTGACGTTAGTTAGTTGTGCCGCTGCGATGGTGATCGAGTGAATGATATCGTCGTTGAAGAAGGTGGTGGTGGAAAGGATAGATGCGATTCAGAGCTGAGTCGATCCATAAAGAGGCAATAGAGCGCGAGAGAGAGAGAGAGAGAAAGAGACAGACAATGTGCCCGGTGGCACTGTCCATCGGTTCATCTGTCAGCCAATTCGGCCCATCCGCCTCTCAGTTCAGCCACCCAATAAATAAATAAAAACAGTGAAAAAGGAGAGCATTGACTTGAATCCTTGACCGTCAGCCTGTGCCGAGCAATACAAAAGCCAGGGTTAAGGGTCAACGCTCAAGGGTCAAGGGTCAAGGGTCAAGGGTCAAGGGTCAAGGGTGCAGCAAATTCATAATTAGCAACAGCTTGTATTGGGTGGCAGCCGGATCTAACACTGCTCGTGCTGGCCCTGTATTTTCACCCATACTTTCTCACACTCTTTTAGGCATTATCAAACATTTTTCATGCCCATTTTTGGAGAAAATTCAAATGCCCTCCAAGGAAACATTACATACAATGGTGACAAGGCTTTTATTCAACAGCAGAAAAGAGAGATCTTGGTGAGATCAATAGAGTAAGCTCTTTCTGAACTGTTTCAGTGGAAGAAATCAGAAGGCCAGCTTCTGGTAGGTTTCAGTGAAAGGAACCAGAAGACTTATTCCTGGTAGGTTTCAACTGACCACCTTGAACACTCTGTTCAGAGGCTATGTGGCACATCCATATAGCACTTTAATTGGGTTTGATATAGGGTATAACTCCCCATTACAGTACAAGTGTTTGTAGTGCTGTTGCTTGATGGTCTTTGTCATGATCTGGACCACAATAAGGTTATCACCTACAAATGAGAGGAGGTACTGGACTGCAGCTGTTATACACCACCTTCCATGGTTTAGCTGGACCCACAGGTGTTGAGCAAGGAAGGGGCTGCCACCTGATGAGGTAGGGGCCTTACACAATGATGAACTGGACAAAGAGGATGGATGATAGGAAGGAGGGGGTGATCCACCACCCAGATGATAGTGGGAGTGGCCCCTATCAAGGATGAAACAGCACAAGGTCTTCCCATATGCAAGGAGCAGGGGGAACAGTGCTACCAAGCAGGGGGACATCATAGGTTAGACAGGATTGGTAGGAGAAACAACAGGAGGAGGAGCAGTGTCAGAGGAGGTTTCCTAGAACAGGAGCAGTGTTGCAGACAACACTGCAAGGATGTTCATATAAAACATGGATTCTATTCATGATAGTTGAGTGGATCGCCATCCACTCTACCTCTTAGACATTCCTAGTTATAACTTTGTCATAAGTATATTTAGTGATTTTGTCAACAGTAGCAATTGCAGAGCATTGCTTCTATCATAGTGCCTGTGTTGTATCATTGCTTCTTGACATCATCCAAAGGCAGTACTTCCTGCAGTCTGGATATCAATTGACACCAAAGGCAGTTTGATACTGCAGCCCAGCTCTCTCAATCTCAAACCAAAGGCAGTCATCCACTGTGGTCCAGGGATGAACCATTCAACTCATTGACACACTGGACACTTGTGTTGAGTCAACTCATTTCACACCAGACCTTGGTGTCATCTCAAAAGTACCTATTGGACATTGATTGTGCTGAGCTACCTCTGGACAGAGTGTCCCCAGCAGTCAGTCAAAATCTGTGATAACCTTTAGTTACAATCTAATCAAGTGAGAACAGTCATAGAAGCCTTCTATGACAGATTCCAGCAAGAATAACAATAGAGGGCCTTTACAATAGATCTTGCTGAGATTAGTTGTAGTTGCCTTTTACTACAGACTTTGGGGTTCAGGCATGTGACACCTTACACTCATCTCCTTGCACTTCTTCTCCTGGAGCTGTGTGTTGACCTCTTTGACACTGCTCCTCCTCCTCATCTTCCAAGCTTCCCATTACTTCCTCATACACCTTCAACCCATTCTTTACTGATGGGAGGAAGTTTTGTGCATTTTTTTAAAGAATGCGCCCTTCGAAGAAATGGTGTTTTTAAAAATGAAAAGAAAAGATTGATACCATGATACCCCCCAACTTATGTCTGCCCCCACTGGTATGCTAGGAACAAAGGCCTTCATCTGATGCTCTTTTCGCTGGCTCGCTTGCTTCTGGGTCAAGGGTTGTAAAGAGAGAGAGGCGCTTCTATTCTTCTTTGCAGCCGAATCTGCGTTTTTTTGGATATAGACATGCCATGCCTTCACTTGGCCTGAATGGAAGAGAGCCAAAGTATCGCACGAAGCTCGACTTGGATCTCGATACGGAATTTGAGCAAATACTAGAATCGGGCACCGATTGCATCTGTCGTTTAGTTTGATTCCCGAAAGCCGAAGAAAACGGCAACTAGACCTCCACGTAAACCTTGCAGCTACTCACCCACTCACCCCTGCTACTTACCCCAACACTCACCGCAGCACACCACATCCATTCGCTTCTCACAATGGCATCGGCGTCGACGGCACCTACGGTACCAGGAGCAGGTACGAACGGTCGACCGATTGTGTTTATGGATATCTCGATCGGTGAGACTGCGGCAGGTCGACTGAAATTCGAGTTGTTCTCCGACGTGGTGCCTGGTACAGCGGAAAACTTTCGACAACTGTGTACTGGCGAATTGCGTCGCAACCATGTCGCCGTCGGATACAAAGATTGCATCTTTCACCGAATCATCAAAGACTTTATGTGTCAAGGAGGTGATTTCATCAATGCGGACGGTACAGGATCTGAATCGATCTATGGGGAGAAGTTCGAAGATGAGAACTTTATCATGAAACACGACAAAGCGGGGTTGTTGAGCATGGCGAATAGCGGACCAGGGACGAATGGTTGTCAGTTCTTCATCACAGCTCAACCATGTCCCTTTTTGGATGGGAAACATGTCGTGTTTGGACAAGTGGTGGATGGATTGTTGACGTTGAGGAAGATGGAAAATGTTGCGACGGGGGCGAATCATCGACCAAAGATGGCGGTTAGAGTTACTGGTAAGTGTAGACACTGCAGAAAGCAGATGATCGCTCTGCTTGGACGCATGTAGAAGCAAGGTCCGACTGCAACGAAAGACGATTGTTACTGACTCGTGCTTCTTGTATTTCCTCTATCACCTTTCCGATCCATATTGAACAGAGTGCGGCGAGATGTAGATCGACACGATTGCCTACTCGATCCTATCTCTTCTGTATACCAGTCAAGCTGAGGAGGTGGAAGAGGAGCAAGATGTATCGGAGCAAATCGGGATTGCAATTCTCCCGATGGGATTGATCGGGCGAGGCTATCCTATCCGACACTTAGGGTTTAGAGTGTGCTTGCTCGCCAGAAGAAAGGAAAGAGGACGTTGCAACAGCCACAGCCACCAGAGCAGCAGCGTGACGATGCGATGCAATGGGATGCGATGTGATGCTCTCCTATGCAGTATGGACTGAAGCCTGATTTGAGTACATACACTGCTTGTCGAATGACGAAAGGCTTCTTCAACTTGGATGACCAAAAAATAAAAAGAGACGATGACGCTATTGAAGCGATCTAACATTCGAAAAACAAAACCAGAAAAGATTTGCATTTTCAAGCGTGTTGGAAACGATGACGCTATTGAAACGATCTAACATCCGAAAAACAAAACCAGAAAAGATTTGCATTTTCAAGCGTGTTGGAAACGATGACGTGATCCTGCTCCTGTTCTGCCTGCCAAAAAGTCGCACCCACGAATTTCCAGTTGGAGTTGCAGTTTCAGCTCAAGAGAGAGGAATCAAAAAGGAAGGAAAAGGAAGAAAATGCAATTCTTTTTAAATTTCCGAAAAAGGTCGGAGCATGGCCCGTGCACAAGCCAACCCAACAGAGGAACAGGAGCAGCAGCAGCAGAGGAGAGGAAAGGACAAGGAGCCAACCAACACTAACTCTCGAGGGCGTGGGAAAAAGTGTGACAGTGTGCCTATGCAATTGCGGAATGATAGATATATATATACAGTCTTTCAGCGACACTCACTTTCACTTTCGGCTCCCACCATTTCCCACTCAGATACTTCCTTCTCCGTGTCTACTTGTACCACATTCCAACACAATGTCTGCCCTCGACGCTCTTAAGCAGTACACCGCTGTCGTTTCTGACTCGGGTGATTTCGAGTCGATCGACGCCTACAAGCCTCAGGATGCTACTACCAACCCTGTGAGTTTTGCCTCTCTCTTTCTCTTGTCTGGCAGTCGCTGCCTTGCTTTGCTGCCGGCGACTGAAAGAGTGCAGTCAGCATCGCCATGTCTATTCCCAAGCACAGCAGCAAATATAGCAAAGAAACATCCATACTGACTCTTGTCGCTCGCATCTGGTCCCTCGTCCTCTTGTGTCGCCGCAGTCGCTCATCCTCGCCGCCGTCAAGCAGGAAAAGTACGCCCGCCTCATCGACATTGCCGTCAAGTACGCCAAGGAGCAGACCTCTGACAAGACGAAGCAACTCGACCTTGCCACCGACCGTCTCCTCGTTGCTTTCGGTACCGAGATCCTCAAGATCATCCCTGGCCGTGTTTCCACCGAGGTCGACGCCCGTCTCTCGTTCAACAAGGAAGCTACCATTGAAAAAGCCAAGCACCTGATCGCTCTCTACGAGTCTCTCGGTGTCAAGCGCGAGCGTGTCTTGATCAAGATCGCTTCCACCTGGCAAGGTATTCAAGCCGCCCGCGAGCTTGAGTGCCAGCACAACATCCACTGCAACTTGACCCTCCTTTTCGGTTTCGCTCAAGCCGTAGCTTGTGCCGAGGCTGGTGTCACGCTCATCTCTCCCTTTGTCGGCCGTATTCTCGACTACTACAAGAAGGCTGAGGGTAAAGAGTACGCCTCGCACGAGGACCCCGGTGTGAAATCAGTCCAGAAGATCTACAACTACTACCGTCAACATGGCTACAAGACGATCGTTATGGGTGCTTCCTTCCGTAACGTTGGTGAGATCTTGGAACTCGCTGGTTGCGATTTCCTCACCATCTCCCCCAAGCTTCTCGAGGAACTCAAAAACACGCCCGGTCCCGTCGAACAGAAGCTGAGCGCCGACAAGGCTAAAGCCGCTCAACAGATCCAAAAGGTCTCGTACATCAATGACGAGGCCGCTTTCTTGCTCGATCTTGCCAAGGATGCCATGGCCAACACTAAGCTCGCTGAAGGTATCGCCGGTTTCGCTAAGGACGGCGCTACGATGGAGCAGATGATCGCCGAGAAGCTCTAAGCGAAGCTTGACTTTCCCACACCTCGTCATTTTCACATCCACATCCACATCCATCCACATTGTCTTGTAACATAGCCTTGCTTCCCTTCCCAAGCAACCATTTTATGCCCAAATCTTTTCCGGTCCAGTCTGATTGTCGATGCGATGTTGACCACGACGACTTGCTTGCTAATGATGATGACCCCCAACCGCCCCCCCCTCCCGGATCTCCGATTCGATCGAATTTTCCCCGATTCGTCATCAGATCGGGTCCTCCAGTCCAGACGCGCACGCCTTTCTCTTTGAAAATCACGTGATGCAAACTGGACCCTCGACACTCAACCCGCTCCTCCATCTTGGCCACCACCTCTTCCTCCTTCTTCACCACCAACAGCACGCTCACCAACCCCGCAGAGGAGCTGCCAAGGATGCCGCAAGAAACACTCACATTCCCGCCACTCTACTGTCTTATCGGCGCATATCGTCTCGCGCACGATCCATCTTTGTACAAACCGATGTGGACCAAATGCTCCAAGGCAGCCAAACAAGCGATCATCCTTTCCTCTCTCTGGGCAATCCTCTCTTGGCCACTCCAGTCGCTTTTCGTTCGCTACTTCATGTCTGCCTCCGCCAGCGTAGCTGGGTTTGGTGCCGTCTACTCGAAACTCGTCGAAACGGCGGGTGTGACTGGTGATAGCCTTGCCTTTAGAATTCCTGTTCCTTCTTTCCAGAGTGAGTTTTGCATCCCTTCCTCCTGCTGGCAGAGCTCGGCTGACGTAGCTTTTCTATTGCTCGTCGCTAGCATTTGCGACTTTTATGTTTGTCATGGGCCAGGTTGATGCGATCATGCAGTTTTCCCTCCGAAGAAAGCTGAGAGAATGTAGAAATACAGCTTACATCCAAACCGTGAGATCCAGAGGAAAAGCGGCCGATTGGTGGTCAGAATATACAGAGGAGTTTGCAAACCCCCCGATCGAGAAGGCGATCAGGGATGCGAAAAAACAAGGATGCTATCTTAATCTCGCAAGCCCCCTGGTTCGATTCTTTATCGTCAAAGGTAAGCACTCCCTCAACCCTACTGGCTTCTCTTGGAGCTCAAAGCTCCGCAACGTATCGCTGCGTTATGCTGACCTGGTCTTTGTTTCGCTCTTTGGCATGTGTGCAGTACTCCTGCTCCCCATGCAGTTCATCCCGTTCTTCGGCATGGCCTTGGGAGCGGCACTGCGTTCTTTAAGCTATGCTCGACTACTGCACCAAAACTTTTTCCAAGCGAAACGCATGTCGCCCTTGCAAGTGCAACTCTGGATTACCGAAAGACAGTCTGCCTATCGTTCTTTCGGTTTTGTTGCTGCACTGATGGAACGAATTCCTCTCATCGGCCTCATCTTTTCTGTCAGCAACCAAATCGGCGCTGCCATGTGGGCACACGACCTTGAGAAGAGGCAACAAACTTTCCACTCCTCCTCTTCTGCAAACTCGGTGGAACTGGAAGAGTACAAGAAGAAACCCTCGCTAAACAAGCTTTATAAGCAGGTTCGACGTGATCAAATCCCCGACGACGACGGCGATAGTGGCCATGGCGCCAATGATGCAAAAGGTGAGCACTCTTCTTCCCCCTCCCACTCGCTCCTCCCAGGCGGTAAAAGAGGGGGAGAGGGTGGGCGGTTTAAAGCTGACGGCTTGGCTGTCTTGCGGAGAGGTGTTGATGAGCGTGCAACAGCCGTATTTACATGTCTAAGTTTTACTTTCCCACTCAAACTTATCTCTCCCCACATCAGTGCCAGGAATGCTTCCCTCGACATCCTCAAGCGAACACCGTTGAACCTTTCCCCTCCTTCGACGCGCGTGAGCGAGTGCAAAGCGCCGAGTGTAATGTACATTCTAGGATATGGCGGGGGGTTGGTTTCCGGTGATAGTGTAGACTTGGATGTTGATGTGGGTAGTGGGTGTAGTTTGTTGATCCTTACCCAAGGCAGCACTAAGGTTTTCAAGACTAGGAATAGTAGGCCGACGCAAGGGGTTAGTACTGCTGCCTTGCCTCGCACTCCCGAACAAAGGGCAGGGGAGGGGGGAGGGGGTGAGATGGTAACGAGACAAACTTTTCGATTCTTGATTCGAAAGAATGCTACCTTGGTACTGCTCCCAGATCCAGTGACATGTTTTGCCAGCGCTCGCTACGATCAAACGCAACGATTCGATCTTCGAGATCGCAACACCTCGTCCCTAATCATGCTAGATTGGATTACGCCTGGTCGAACTTGCGTCCCCCCTACCCGTTCCGCTTCGAATGCGGCCAAGTTGAACCATCTCGATGCGCACACCCCCTCGCCTTCGCCATACACCAACCCGGCGAGGGAGATGAAAGATTACAGCATCCCAACCCGCGATCCCGAACTATGGTCTTTCGATCTCTATCGCTCGCGCAACCAAGTACGCATATGCCCCCCTCCGCAACCTGTTGCTACAGACCTCCTCCTACTCTCCCAAGCTCCCTCGACCCATAGCACGCAAGATGGAGCCAGAGGGTTGAAACCTACGGATTTGGCTAGAAGGAATCATCCCTACGGCTGCTATGCTACCCTTATGCTAGCTGGTCCGGACGCGGAAGGGATAGTAAAGAGATTGACTGACGAATTCGATGCGATCCAGCAGAGGCCAAGTAGCAAAGTGGACCCTAGAGAGGTCATCTGGAGTCTTTCCCACCTCCAACACCAAGCGATTGGCGCCGATAGGGGTACAGTGGTAGTGAGGATAGCAGCAAGCGATAGCCAAACCGTAAGAAAATGGTTGTCCAAGAGACTGGTAAGTTTAGAAACTGTCCTTGGCACACATTTGTATCGTCAAGCACTCGGTTCCTAGCCATTCCATGTAAGCCAAGTGGACGAGGTTGTGTCCAACATTGCAGCTTGTCCACGAGAACTACTGGTACATGATCCCTGAAACCAAGACCATGTAACAAATGTCTGTGGAATAAGACTTGATGTGCCTACCGATCCTGCAACATACTCTGCTTTGACGGCTGAGTCTGAGCGACACTTTTGGACATACAAGTCCCAAGTTACTACACCACCAAAGATGCTTATGACCAAACGTGATGTGTTGCTCCTATCTGTGTTCAGATCTGAAGCTGAAACACTGCTTGCATCGCTTCTTCAGTCACTTTCGCCATGTGGCAGACTAGGCCATTAACTGCATATGAAACATCTCACCTGACAGTGTTTGAAATCTATAACAACCTACCCACAAACACCAGATACTTAGCTTTCAAGCCTCGGTTGATCTCAAATTTGAGAGCAGCCTTTGGGTGAGTATGGACATGGGGATCCACATTTTCTCTTGTGTCTTAATGCATTCCTTTGTGATCTCCCTCTTCTCCCAGTCATGTGGGACCTTGATCTTGAGCAATTCCTTTGCAGGTCCATTGTTGGTGATCTTGCATTTGTCAATGATGACTTTGTTGGCCTGTTCAATTTGGTCTCTACACAGCAAAATAATGAGCATCTCATCAACATATACCACAATGATTACCTGCAATTCACCCACACCTCTAAGGTAGACACAAGCTACATTGAGCAACAGGAAGAAGCCCAATCTTTGCAGGTGCACATCCAGCTCTTTGTGCCATTCCTGTCTAAATCACTTTAGTCCATAGAGACTCTTGATCAACTTGTATATCTTGCCAGCTGGTTCCTCTGCACCCTCTAGCAGCTTGAGATAGATGTCATGGTGCAGCTTGTCATTGAGATTTGCTTGGCTCATGTCAATAGAGTCAACTCCCCAGTTAAACTTAGCTGCAATTGTTAGGATGGTTGGAATGACATCCCTGGGTACCACTGGGGCAAAGATTTCATCATAGTCTGCCCCTTCCTTTTGAGAGAAACAATGTGCACAAAACCTAGCCTTGAACTTGTATGGAATGTTATTTGCATCTCTCTTGGCCTCAAGCACCAGCTTGGAGTCAATGAGGCTTGCATCCTTAGGCTTGTCCATGGTCTCCCAACTGTGCATGCTCTTGAGTCGATCCATTTCAGCTTTGATTGCTTTGCACCAATGAAGCTGATCAGGTCCAGTCAATGCTTCCTTTACTGATAGTTTGAGATTGGTGGTTGAAATTGCATAAGCACTGGCATCATACTCTCAGAGAGGGCCTATGTCCACAAGTCTGCCTCAGCATCAAAGTTTCTCTTGGAACCTGTGCATTTCTGGTGTGGATGGGAACATGTTCTGGTAGATTTGGAGTAACTCAGTGAGTGTAGTTGGGTGTAACCGTGAGAACATCTCTTGGGTTGCAGCAAACTTGTTGTGATAGTTCTGAGCCTTTCACATCAACAGTTTCTCTGAGAATGCAGGATCTTGAACATGACTGTTAAGTTCCCCCAGTGGTAATGGTGATGTTGGCACCAGAGCAGTTTGGTATTTGTTATCCATTGAACTGGCAGATGCTTGATCCAAGGGCACAGTTGGTCAAGTTGATACAGATTCATCATTGATCTTGTTATCCAGGTATTTGAAAGTGGCATCTGTGGGTTTGGTAGGTAAAAATGTCCCTTCTTAAATTCTGTATCTGGTTCTGAAGGCAGGTGGTAGGCATTGTTGATGGGTTGCTGCTGCAACTCTTTGTTGTGCTTGTCAAAGTTGTTGTATCCAAGGTCTTCAATATCAGCCAAGTCATTGTAATATAGAGCATCTGTATCCTGGATTGGCATTGTATCTGTGTGATTGTTCCACAATTTGTCTTGCAAGAACTGTGTGGAATTGGACCAGAAGACTGGCAGATTGTGGCTTGGTGCTAAAAATTTCCATTCTTTGTGTTCTTTGTCATAACCAACAAATATGGCAGAGATGGCCAGTTCATTGAGTTTCTTGTACTTTGCTTTTGGTATATTAACCCATGTGAGGCATTCAAAGGTCCTGAGCAGATCAAATGGCCCTGCAGATCTTTACCAAAGAAGATATGGTAAGGTATCCAGTTGTTGATGTTTGGCAAGAGGATTTTTGTGAAAACAGTGGCTTTGGCAGCAAAAGGCCAGAACATTAGCAACAGGCAATGTGGGTGCATCATGGCAATCATTATTCCCCTGATCATCCTAATGGTGTGCTCTGCTTTACCAATCTGTTTGCTGGTGTAAGCTGGCGTTTTTTGCCAGCAGAAGCCTGCCTTGTTCTGCCAACTAGTAGCTGCTGTTGAGACCCATTTGCAAAGAGATTTGAGTTTGCGACTTGTCTGTATCTCAGCATAATGGATCTGTTCCTTTAAGACCTGTAATGCATCTGATTTTGGTCAGAGTGGCTGGACATAAGTAAAGCTTGAAGCATCCTTGACGGCTACCAACAGACACATGAATTTGGTCTTCGTTGACAAGCATGCCATACCAGTGTCATCGAGAGTGGTGAAGCAGTTCTGATAAGAGTTGGCATACCTGGCCTAGTCAATGAGCATCTTGACCTTAAGGATCTCAGGAAGGTGGTGGCCCATGGATTTGGCTTTGGCCCAGTGTTTGTTGATATGGGTGATGAGCTTGCAGACATTGACCTGGTACATATGAATCCTCCTGACCTTGTTGAGCAGGGTTGACTCAGCAATCTTCTCCATCTTTGTGAGATCCTTCTTGAGCCTGCAGTAAAGGTTGTGCAGTTTCGAGGGCTCCAAGTTGGCAGGTTGGACAAATAGGTAGTTGATGTTATAGTTGCCAGCAAGTAGGGTGCTACTCTGGAGAATGCATTATACTCCTTATCTGGAGGTGCAATAATACCGTCAAGGTGTTTCATGTCAGCTGGCCAGTTGGACAGAATACCTCTGAAGCAAAGGTTCCAAGTGTACCAGTTTCTGGTCATGAGCTTGGGCACCTCCTTGAGGGCATCATGGATACAGGAAAGTTGTTGTTGCAAGTCAGAACAGCATAAGGGCTTCTTGTATATGTCAGAGTTGCTTGCTTTGTTGCATTGAGTGGGTTTGATGAGCATACCTCAAAGCACTTTGGGGCTCAGCTTCGAGATGGTGGCAATGCTCTATCGTCTTTGTCTTTGTTCGAGTCGTAGCGCAAGGCAGTCTGCACACTAGGCAGAAATTGCTTGCGAGGTGCAGTAGGAACCTCTTCATCCTGTGCATTGTCTGATAGTGTGCTGCTTTCGGTGTTAGAATCATGGATTATGGCCTTTCCTCGGGTAGCAGAGCAGGCAAGGATACAGTTCTGGCAGCATGGTGAGGCAAAAGCAATATTCCCACAGCAAGAGCATTCAGACTCTTAATCTGTTCAGCAATGCACAAGCAAGGAGCAGCAAAGCGGATAGCAATCGTGATGATTAGAAGACAACTAAGTACAAAGCAATGCCAGGTATATATCTCTACTGACGGTCAGTGTTTGCATATGTGGAATCAAGTGACATGTATGATTGCATGCTATCACAATAGGGGCAAGCGGATGTTGACATGGATCTTAGTAGCATTGGTGGCTGATGACTGACGACGGTGAGCAAGGTTGGCAGACATGTTAGAGTAAAAAAGGAGAGGTCCTGTCATTTCACTGGCTTAAGCCGAGTGTTCTGCCATTCTTACGTCGCAGCAATGATCCCCTCTGTACTGCCGTGTCGAGCAGCGTTTGTCGGCGAGTTTCGATCTTGTCTCTCTCACTCGCCATGCTTCACCTTGGTTGGAAGGGAAGATTGCCCTTTCCTCATGTGTCGCTCTGTCTTGCGTGGCGGGAAGGACGAGGATCGCAACTCGTCTCGTCGCTGTTATTCGCGATCTTTGCCGTCGTCATTGCGTGTTCGTCGTTGTAGTAGGCAGCCATACAACTCGCCACCAGAAAGAACGCATGGATGAAGACCCTGAAGAGGCAAAGTTGACGCCGGATTCCCACCTCAAACACCTGCGCTCTTGGATTGTTGCTATGTGCAAGTGCATTCGTTGCAGAGAGGTGGGGTAAGATACATGGCTCCATTTCCAGAACGTCTATGGTAAGCGTTTGTAGCCGCTTTTCTTGCCAGGTGAGGCTGATGGATTGGCGACCGAAGGTTCTGCTCCACCAATGTCGTCCGTTGTACCCGCACCGGTGCTTGTGCTTGTGCTTGGTGGGGATGCAGGGGTTTGTGCTGCTGGGTGTGTGTTTGCGTTTGGCCACCGTGCGGGAGCTCCTTGTTCTCCACTGGCTGCTTGGTTGGAGGTCGGATAGGGTGTTGCATATGCTGAAGGAGGAGCTGGGTATCCTTGATGCTGACCATATTGAGGCGGATAATACATTCCGTATCCAGGAGGATAAACTCCTAGTCCTGCATTGAGGCCTTCCTCAATCTTCCTCACACTCGCTTCCTTCGCAGCTTCACCCCTCAACCTCGCCCACCAACGCCTCTTCTTCTCCCCCACACGCCTCTTTGCTCCCCTCGCTGCGCCTGAACCCAAGCCAACTCTCCTCAAGCGTTGCAATCTCCTCAATCCAACACCCATCGTAATGCCTACGGCTATGACGGCGACTCCACTAACTCCAGCAAAAGCATAGTCCATCTCCTCCATGTGCGACTTTAGGTTCATACCAAACAACCCTGCCCACAAAGTGCCTGCACTGATGCCCATAGTGGCAATACTAGTCTTCAAATCCAATGCCAAGAGCTTGTTTCTGTTGTTGTCCAAAATAAGTTCCACGACCTCCTGGGTGTTGCTGATGTCGGAGGATAATTGTGTTGTTTCCGAGACGACTTCTTCCACTTGTTTATCGAAAGATTCGAGCAGTAGTTCCAGTTCGTCCATTTCGGGTGGACCGCTGGCTTCACCTTCCGTGATGGTGGAATTGTTGGAACAGGGTGGCGGAGGAGGATGGGAGAGATACATCAATCCCATATCTTCTTCATTCTCCAAGACCTCAGTCACCGCATTCTTCACCGCTTTTGCTCGCGAAAGAAAAGCGTTCAACTTCCTGGACACTTGCAGCAGAGTCCTTAGTTTCTCGCGATCAACATCATCATCGAGATCCTGAAGTATGTTTGAGGTCCAGTTACGAACGACTCCCAATTCAATGCGTAACGCATCCAATACCGACACTAGAATCGACTCTAAAGCTCGAAATTCATACGCCAAACCACCGGCACTTGCTCCTGCTCCTGTTCCTGCTCCTGTTCCTGCTCCTGTTCCTGCTCCTGTTCCTGCTGCTGCTGCTGCTCCACCTCCAACTCCGCAGCCAATGCCAGTTGCATTACCGGACCCGTCGGCTCTGGAACCCCCCGCAGCGGCGGAAGAGAGGGATTTAAGATTATGCTGTAAATTATAAACAAAAGCACTATTAAGCTGACTATCCGTACTACCATAACTATCAAATAACAGCACTTTATCCTTCTTAATCATCGCTCTGATATGAAGTATATTGACCAAAATGCCACCCCTCCTGGCTAAAATCGTGGGTACTAAGTTTGGTACTCGAGAGTCGATTTTCCGTAGATCTCGCGGTTCGAGGCCATGATCGGAACATAGACGAGATTTTTTAAACACACCCGATGTACTAGTCGCTGAACCCGAGGAGTCGAAGATTGTACATCGCAGCAAGATATCTGGCGACAGATGCGTTGTCGTCGTAGTTGGCATATAAGAGCTAGGTGTGGAGGGGGAGGGTGATGATGGAGGGTAGGGCGGTTGAGAATTTGGGATGGGAAAGTTGCGATCATGTGAAGTGGTTGAGAGGTTGCGTGCCACGCAAGCTTCTCGAACGGGCGAGAAGGTGATGCTGGATATCGGGAGAGAGATTCTGGAAGCTATCCTTGTGTTCACGATTGGTGCTGATGGCGAGGCTGAAAATGTGGCCAATCCTGTGCAAGGTTGCTGAGGTGATGTGGCCGTTGTTGCCGTTGTTGCCGTTGATAGTGACCGAGCTCGCCTAGTAAGAGCACAGTTTCGACTGCCACTGCTGATGGACGCCACCGACCACGCCGATCGCAGCGCCGTATTTGATGACAACCGCATCCTGTGCCGTGGAAGTAGGCAGTAATGGAGCGTGTTCCAACAGAAGTATCCGTTGGTCGATGCTGATGATGATGGTGTTGAAAAGCTAACCCTCACTCCTCCTTCTCGAAAAACTCAGCCTCGCTCACCAAAAAAAAAAAAAAAAAAAGAAAAGAAAAAAAGAAAAGAAAAAAAGAAAAGAAAAGAAAAAAAGAAAAGAAAAAAAAACCTCCTCCACTCTAAACCCTCTTCGCCCTCACGCCCTCACACCCTCACACCCTCACACCCTCACACCCTCACACCCTCATACGTTGTAAGCCCTGATCGCTTCAGACCCTCCCGCAACCACACATTCGCACCCTCGGAGAGAAATGACATAGATGAGACAAAGCGTAGTACTGCTACCATCGCCAGAGCTTTAGCATAAGGATTATTGTTCGCCATGTTGAGACTTGACACTCTGTCCAGCAGCACTAAACCCACTTAGATCGGGATCGAACCATTCCAGATCGCTTCCCCCTACTTCCCCTCCTGGTGTGGGTGTGGGTGCTGAGGGTGCATCCCGGTTTCCAGCTGAAGACTTGGTTGGGCTTGGGAGGGCGTCTTGGGATTCCCCCTCTTCCTCTTCCTCTGCTACTTCGCGTTGTTCCTCAACCACCGCTTGGTCCGAAGAGAGAATGTTGGTACGGGAGCAAGAGGAAGGGACCATGGTGGAATCCCCGATCGTGGTGTCTCCTGGAAGGCGCATACCTGAGCTGGAGACAGAGATCGATTGTGACAGTGTATGTGTTGTCGAGCAGGTTTGTTGGGAGAGTGCTGGTGAGGATTCGGTTGATACCGCCCCTTCCTTTCCATCGTTTGCGGCGGAGGAAGTTTGGGAGGAGGAGGAGGAGTTGGTGGTGGTGATGGTGGTGGTGGCAGAATTAGAACCGAGTAAGGATGGAAGAATGGGTGCTTCCCTACCACTCCTCCTATCTCTTCTTCTCGTAGTTCTAAACGCACTTGCACTTGGCGTCCCTGCCCCTCCTTCACCACCGTTGCCATCCTCACCACCTTGCAACTTGGCCAGCATCGCCGCTGCAACGTCACTCGGACTTCCACCCTGTCCCGCACCTCCTGCACCACTCATCGAATCTTCGGATCCACCACGCTCACCCCCACCAACCCCACCTTCAGCCTTGGCACCCTGCAATTGAGGATTAGCATTTGTCTGCCTCCTCTCCCTGGCCTTTCTCCTCTGTTTATGCGGTCCTCCACCCCCACCACTCCTCAGACTACCCAGTAGTGTTTCCAACACTGCACTATCATCCACCCCAGCCTCTTTCCTCGCTAGAGCCTCCTGTCTTTCCTTCTCCCTCTCCTCCGCCGCCGCTCTTCTCTTGGCCTCCAAGGCCCTTTGTTCCCCTATCCTGACGTTGTCGAGTTTCACCTTCTTATAGGCTGCTAAGAACTCTTTAAAAATCCCAAAGAAATCTTCCGTCTTCATTACTTGATTCCCAAACCCTCCCAATCCACGCTTCTTAGGATCCGGTCCTTCGCCAAAGTACTTCAACGCCTCTCCATACACTCGTTCCGTGAACTGAACTTGATCGTTCAACCGCTGCAGCTCGCTAGCTGCATCGTTGAGGAAAGGGAGCATGATTTTGACGTAGGGATCCTGCAGGTTTTCTTCGCTCTCGTCAAGCAGGCGATCGAGCTCTTTACGATGTTGGAAAGAACCGGATTTAAGTTCGGCGAGATCTCTCCTCAATTCCCAAAGTTGAACACGACATGCTTCCGCCGGTAACTCTAGTTCTTCCATGAAGGCCTCCACTTCGGGAAAACACTTGCTGATAGTCCTCTCGATGAAATGCAAGAGTGTTGTTCCATCGCTCGCCTTGGTATCGACGAGCTTGTTGATAGAGGTGATCTTAAACCCGAATGCTCCGCCCTGAACACCGGTCGAGTTGAGATAATTACCCATCATCAAGATCAAACTCAGCAATCGCGCAAACGCTTTGGCCTTCATCAACCCTTCCGATGCATCTCTAACCTTGACCGTACCTGATTTGATCAGATCAAACGTCTCTTTGTACTTTGTCATATACAGCAGACCCTTAACCTTATCTTTCAGATGCGGTACTGTCATGAGCAACACTACCAATCGATCTGCTGGGTGGAGCAAACGTAGTTCTTCGTCCGATGCATTCCTGTATTCTCCCAACTGACCCTTGGTTTCTGACTCGGGATAGTGCCGTAACAGCTCGGTCAAGAAGCTCTGATCCAGAACGGCCTCGTTACAGTTGATGATGTGATGCGCAACCTCTTCGGGCGAAGCCTGCTTACTTTCGGTCAAGCTAGATTTGACTCGTTTGAGAACCATTTCGATACCTTGTCGAGTTTGCAGGCTGAGATGCGTCTTGAGTTCGATCTTATCCTTCTTTGCTGTGTTGGCAAATTTCTTGACGGGTTGCTTGGCTTTGAAATCCTCTTCCATCTCATCGAACAAGCCCTCCTGCTGAAGCATCTTGACGATTTCTTCTTCATCAGCGGTAAGTTGATGCTGGCCGAAGATGGTCTCAGCAGCATGTTGTGGAGAGAGCTTATCCCATTGGAGCTGCTTCATTTTGGTTCGAGCCATAGCAAGCACTTCTTTGCGACTGAGAGCATGGTTTGCGAACAAGCCAGCAACACCGGGTGCAGGAGGCGCGGCGATGGGACCTGCTGGACCGAGGTTCGTCGGTGCATAAGATGCTCGGACGTTCATCATCGAATTTCGATAAGCACCGTCTTGGGTCGGCGATTCCGTGATGGATCCGGGCGGCGGCGGTGCGGGTGGAGCAGGTGTACCCATGACGGAAGCAAGCATGGATCCTGGACGAGACGAGTCTGGAGTGGAGAAAGCAGATCGCGTGTCGGCACTGATGCCTCCGCTGCTGCTCTGGGAGAAACCAGGTAGCATTCCAGGTGGTGCGGGGGGAGGAGGCGGTGGTGGAGGTGGAGGCATGGCCGCTGCATCGAGCAATGCTTTCTGAGCCGGGGAGACACCTGGCGCTGCTGCTGCCATTGAGGGGAGAAGCATGGGCAGAGGCGGCGGAGGAGGAGGAGGAGGAGGTGGTGGTGGTGGCGGTGGCGGTGGCGGTGGCGGTGGCGGTGGCGGTGCACCTCCTGGAGGGGCCAAACCCCCTGTCGACCCGACTGCTGCTGCGGGAGGTGCGGAAGCAGCCTCGTCCACGCTTGCAAGTGTGACAGTGGGCTTCTTCTTTCCTCTACCAGCCAGCGACTCGTCGTCCGAATCCGAATCGTCTTGGCGCTGACGTCGAATCTCGTCGAGCAAAGTACGGACAGCAGGATGAGAAGTCCTCTTGCCATTGCCCTTAGGGGTAGGAGCTTGTGCTTTGCGACGTCTCGACTCTCTGGCATCGACCATTCTTGAGGCAAGATCCGTGTTCTGAGCCATACCTGCCGCAAGTGTAGCTTGAATCTTCCACTTGGCAGCCTCTGGATCCAAGGGTTCTTCATCATGTCCCTCGTGCTCCTCCTCCTCTGCCTCCTCTTCCGCCTGCTCTGGCTCGACTGCATGCTCACCAACACGACGTGCCAGGATCGACTGCCTCCTAACACTCGCACTGATCCTCTTCCTGTCCTGATCACCCCCCGCCACAGCGGGAAATTCGGGGACTGGCGGCACTTTTCCGTTGCCATGCTTATTCTTTCTGGCATTCGCCTCCAACTTTCTTATCGTCTTATTCCTCTCCAACTGCTTCTCCAACGTATCCACCAACTGTTTCCTATCCAACTGACCTTTGCCGGGTGCGGCTAGATCACTTACATCCATCTGTGCCTCCCTCAACATATCGTACAACTCTCTAATCTGGATCTCCAATGCGACCACTCGATCGATGTAAGCTTTTTCCATCTCGTCCATCTCGTCTCGAGCTGCACCTGCATTGCCTCTGGCGAGGGAAAGATCGTCTTGGAGCTTTTCGATCTGTTCTTGAAGCTTGCCGATGAGGCCGTCTGATCCGGCTTTGAGTTTGGCTTCGAGTTGCATTTTGTCCTGCTCGAGAGCGGCTGCTTTTGCTTTTGCTTTTTGGAGCTCGGACTGGATCGAGTTGATGTGATCTTGATCTGCGAATCGTGAGAGAAGGTTGTTGACTGATACGCCTAGCAAGGAGGAGAGATCGTTGCCCTCGACAGCGCCTTTTCGATCCATGACGACGGAAGTGACCATGGAATCAATGAGCTGATAGTAATGCACCAGATCATCACCCTCTCTTCGAATCAACAAGAAATGCTGCAAGGCGGACAAGAAAAAGTCATATGCCCTCGACCCTTGCACTTTACCGACGATCGCACGAAAGACATCGAGAGGATCGCTCAAATCGGTAAGCACCTCCTTGTTGAAAGTCTCGACGACATCCTCGTGATCCGCCTCTGCACCTTTTTGGAAGACTGCAATCTGGACATCCAGATCGGGATTCTTGAAGGCTCGCATCTTGATCAAGATCCTCTGTAAGCCGCTTGCTTCCATCTGGTGGCGCAGATGCACTCTCACCTCGAACTCGGGCACAATGTCGGAATTGAGGATAGCGTTGATGAGGAACATGTTGTTGATCGCATACTCGTTTAGGCTTGATTCGTGCGGACCGACAACGCTAAGCTTTTTGACTTCATCAGAGGCACCGACCATGGAGCCCATCTTGCCTCGGCCGTCAATGGTCTGTTCGAGGATGCGAAACCATGCGTCAAATCTGCCGTGATCGCCTTGGCTGGTCTTGAGATGGTCAAATGCTTTCAATACGAGCCTGTGACCGGTTGGTTTGTCCCAATGACAGAGAAAGAGGAGGATGTCGGCTGCTTGCTTGCGTGTTGTGAGCTGGAGAGAGATCATCGAGTGGGTGATGCCGCTGATGCATTTGGGCTGTGCAAGGGCATCGTTGGCACCAGGTTTGGAGTTGAAGAGCGATCTGAAAGCCTTCAAGACTTCATACTCCAAGGCTAGATCATTGTCATTCTTGATGCCCTTGGCATGCAAGCCACTAAGAAAGCTAGCAAGGACAGGCGTTCCCTTGGCCTCGACGAAGCTCTGAATCCAACCAATCGCACAGGTTCGCAGAGTGACTGCCAAGGACTCGATGTGCTTCGTGGTGACGGTTCCGTCCATGAATTTCTTGATGAACCACTCTGGAGAGTTTCGTGTGATGAGGAGACTTGAGGCAGCGCCGGCAGGCCCAGCATGGCCGGCATGTTGGCGCCTGTTGCGATCGCGTTCCTTTTCAGCATGCCATTCGGTGAGTTTATCGTTGTAGACGAGAGTCCATTTCTTGTCGACGCTGAAACCGAGCATGTTGCGACGTGCTGTCTCCTTGAGTTCGTCCGAGAGGTTACCTCCAGGTAGGTTGAGGAAATCGCGCTTGTCCATAAGCTCAGCGAAAAGACGCTCGACTTGGGCATCTGGTGGACGTTGAAGTACAAAGTCGGGTGCTTTGCCTCCTCCTTGTGGCGCCGCGGCATGCGAACGATGCTGCTGCTGCGGGTGATACGAGTCTCGACCTAGACTAGAATGAGTGGTGCTGGCACCAGGAGCGGAGCCTGCTCTACCATGATCGGGATGCGAGAATGCAGCTGTGCTGGCAAACGACATGCCACCGAGCACATCATGCGGCATCTGCGCTGCGCCGCCGTTGTAGCGGATGGAGCTGCGATCGTTAGCGAGACCTGCACTGGTGCTTGAGGTATACCGCGACGAGCGCGTACCATTGGGAGCAAAGCTGGACGAGCCAGACTGGATCGAATCGTGCGTGCCTACGCCATGCCGAGAGGAAGAAGCACCGGAGATGTTGCGACGATGCGAAGAGAGGCCACCGCTGGAAGAGATGGTGGAGATGATGGACGAGGTGGAAGGATAGGGGGCAAAGTCGTCGACGGTCGAGTAGGCGCTAGAACGATGAACGCCGCTACCGAGGGCAGGATTGCCAGAGGGGTTACCGATAGAGAGCTTGGAGCTGGCCGGAGAAGAGTGGATCGCAGGAGAGTGGATCGCAGGAGAGTTGGACGCAGGAGAGTTTCTCGGAGGAGAGTTGGTGGGAGGAGAGTTGGTGGGAGAAGAGTTGGTATGGTGTGAGCCGGTGGCGAGAAAGTTGTCGAGAGCGTTGGGTGCGCGCCCACTAATCCTCGGTTCGTATGGCATCGCTTTGTCGGCTGCTTCCGAGTTGAACTGGCGCGAACGCTTTTTGCGGCCGAAAAGCGAGTCCATTATTGCCGCTAATGATCCGAGCACTGAGTGGCGTTATGGTGGATAAGGGTCAGCCTCTCGGCACGCCCGATTCGCAATGACTGATACGCTTCGGAAGATGCCGAAAGGATCGATGCTGGCAGAGCGATCACGCAATCATCAAGGGCGAGGATGGCGACAATGACGACAATAACGACAATGATGGCGTGATCCCACCAGGCTGAGTCGGTCAAACTGAGTGCAATCGATCCTTATCCCAGAGGTCGAGGATTGCTGAGCCAACGTAGTTAGTCCTAGTTGTAGCCGTAGTTGTAGTCCTAGTTGTAGTCCTAGTTGTAGTCCTAGTTGTAGTTGTAGTCGTAGTCGTAGTCGTAGTCGTCGTCGTCGTCTTCGGATCCGCTTTGCTGAGAGAGAGAGAGAGAGGGGCAATTAGGGTATATCGTATAGAATGGTGATGGCGATCCACTTGCAAGCGACGGCATCCAATCTCGAGATAGCAATCTACTCTAGCCAGTGTGAACTGCAACGCTCAACTCAACTCGACTCAACTCAGACTCAACTCACACACACTTTGTCCCTTGGTCTTTGCTGGCGCGCACACTCGAACCTCTTTCTCTCTTTTCTTTCTTTCTCTCTTTTCTTTCTTTCTCTCTTTTCTTTCTTTCTCTCTTTCTCTCTTTTCTTTCTTTCTCTCTTTTCTTTCTTTCTCTCTTTTCTTTCTTTCTCTCTTTTCTTTCTCTCTTCCCGTCTGGACTCAGTCGCACGAGACGAAACTAAAACCAACTATAATAACACAAACCAAGTGGATTGCAGGCAAAGACCCCCTGAGGTCCTCGAAGCTCAACAAGCTGGCTCCCAGCCTGCCAACAGCTGCAGTGTTGCCTGTGCAGCAGACAGCAGTCACTGCAGAGGGGCTGGAGGCTCCACCAGGTTAGAGGACAGGGTCCTGCCAGGAAGCACCAGGAGGGACAAGGGGGCTGTGCTGGGTGGCATAGAGGGCAGAGGCCACAATTGTGCAGCACTCAACAGCAGAATGGTCAACATATCACCAATAGCAGTTGGAATTCCACTGTCCAAGGAGCTTGATGGTGTTGGCATCAATGCCCTGCAAAGTCACCCATGTGGCTGCCCCACAGCAAAAGGAGTGCCTAGCATATTGAGATGTGTCAAGGCCAAGGCAAGAGAGGGCTGAGCAAAGGTGATGGAGGAAGAATGAGCAAGTGAGTGGCTTGTGACCATCAAGCAACCCAAAGAGGGGTGGTGTTGGGGCAGTGGACTGAGGGGCAGAGGTGGCAGGGGGCAAAGTAAGGACATTCCACATCCCCCAACCTTGGGGACAATGAGAGGGGTCCCAAGCTGGAAGGGGTCCATCTTGGAGGCCAGCAGGAGGAGGATGGCATAGTCCTTGTGCCAGATGACTGAACAGACCAGCAGCTGGGTTGGTGTTGTGGAGTCCCCACATAACCTCACCACACTGCAAGAAGCAGGCAAAGGAGACAGAGAAGGCCACAGCAACAACCTGCCAGTTCCATGCTCTGAGAGCTGTGGACTGCTGGAGCTGCTCAAGAATGGCTCAGAGCAGGGGGAGGGTAATAGGGAGCTTGGACTTTGCTGGTCAAAAGCTGTGAGTGCATTTGATGCCTTGGACAGCTTGCTCCAAACAGCCATGAGAGAAGGTGCCAAGGGGGAGACCAAGGTCAATGTGCCAGGAACAGAGGCCATTGAGCTTGTGTTTGATGCTGTGGAATGGCTGGGTCCAGGCCATGTTACAGACCCATTTGGTGAGGAACAAGTCCAAAGCTGGGAAGGGGGGTACCCTAGGCCCAAACTGGCTGCAAATGAAGGACTGGTACCAGTCTGGAATGCCCATGCTGCACTTGCAGCTGGATTCGGCCAGGCCTCGCCAGATGTAAGTGGTGGCAAGGGCCAAACAACCCATGGCATCAATAAAGGCCTTTGGGATTCTGTGGGGTTGGTGGGGAAGAGGAGCTGATGGGTGATGGGAAAGCGGTGCTGTATCACACGGAAATGGCAACGAGAAAGGAGGTCAGCCAAGAGGTTGTCCTTTGAGGTGACACAAACCGGATGTAAGGTGATTGTCAGAGGTCGCACACCCAAAACCTGATATCTGTAATAGAACTGCATCTATTACGAATCCTGTTGAGATATGTGACAACACTTGTGGTATTGCAATTCTTGCTGAGGTATGTAGTAGAGATGTCTCTATTACTTTTCTTGCTCAAAAATGCAGTAATGGTTTTGCTATTGCAGGTTTTGACTAACTGCTGTGGACACTCCATCCAGAGGTAGCTTGGCATGATCAATAACTTGAATGTATTGCAAGACACCAGAGGTCTGGTGTGATTGAGATAGTTGATGTTGTTGACACGAGTGTCCAGTGTGTCAACTGAGTGCTTGAAGTGATCCCTGGACTGCAGTGGATGACTGCCTTCAGTTCTATCTTTATCCAGACCACTGGTTTGCTATGAACTGCCTTCAGACATCAGTGAGTGGTGATATGACACATGTGCTACAATGGAAGCAATCTACTAGATTGCAACTACACTGACTGGAAACTAATACATACTTATGCTAAAGTGGTAACTAGTTGTGTATGGTGTAGAGTGGATGGGGATCCACTCACTTGCTATGACAAGGAGCATGGTTATATAACCATCCCTGTGACGTCGCCTGCAACACTGCTCCTTCCCTGGGAGGTCTTGTCAACTCTGCTCCTCCTCCTCATCCTTCCTATCCTGTCCATCCTCCTGGTGCTATTTCTTTACCACTTCTCTCACTTTGTGCAGATGGATGGTTCTCATGCTACTTCATCATCATCAGGGGTCAGTCCCACCTCATCTGAGTGGCGACTTGCATCCATTCATTACCCTCCTGTCATTAGCACCCATCTGTTGGCATCGACTTCATTGTTGTGCAAGGTCCCTACTTCATACAGTGGCAACTGTCCTCCCCTTGTACAGTATCCTCCCCTGGTCATATCAGCAATGGGGTGCCTCCCTGACCAATTCTCATGAGACCTGTCATACTCAGTGTGATATTGTAATCCCCACTGAACTCTGTGGTAATGGCTTTGTTCCTACTGATCCTGGCAAGTTATGCTATAGGCTCATTTCTCCTACTGATCTTGGTGAATTCTCCCTTAAGCTCTCGTGTAGCCCAATCCTGCGATTCCTGCGCTCCTTCATATGACTTCAACTTCTTCTATCCTCCTGCGCATCCGGCTCCTATGACAGTGAAGTGGTGCAGGAAGCAGAGGCCAAAGATCTTGCGGAGGAGGGTCTGTGTGAGAGGATCATGAGAGCGACCAGTGAAGAGGCTGAACTTGACATTGGTGTTGTTGATGTGTAGGACAATGAGGCATGGACCAGTCCAACGGCCAGAGAAAGTGTGGAGTGCCTCCAGGACAGCCAGAGCCTCCAGGAACTGAATGTCTTTTGCCCAATGACGGCAAGGCACCTCCCAAGAGAGGGTTGCCAAGGGAGCCTCCATGAGGCCCTGGTGGGCACTGTTACGGGATCGGGAAATCGGGTAACCAAACCGAACATAGTGAGCAGCAAAACCACTACACCAGCTAGACCCTTAGCTGGTGTACCCAATTCACACAACACTGAAGTATAAGCATTTTCACTCCCAAATGCTCTGGACTTGGAGAATGGAATTCCTATTCCAGTGACATTACCCCCCTGTTAAACTCTGTGGTCCCTCACAGAGGCTACAGGCAGTCTGCATAGCGGCCCAAGCACAAGGTTTGGCCATTCGTTGATGTAGTGCATGTGATCAGCCTTTTTCTCAAGGCCTCACACAATCAGGCTCATCATTATGTAAGTGCATGTGCAAGCCTCTAGGTTTTACAGCCAGGGGATGGTGAGATTATTCCACAAGTTACTCCACATGTAAGCATGTGAGGAAAAAGCACCTAAAACTCACTGACCAGCATGGGAATTGAATGAACAACAAGCTAAGGGTCTAATGTTACAGGATCAGGAAATTGGGTAACCAAACCAAACATAGTGAGCAGCAAAACCACTACACCAGCTAGACCCTTAGCTGGTGTACCTGATTCACACAACACTGAAGTATAAGCATTTTCACTCCCAAATGCTCTGGACTTGGAGAACGGAATTCCTATTCCGGTAACAGGCACCATACCCATGCTTGGACGTGTTGGTCCAGATATGTTCAATGACAAGGGGAGAGGGTTGGAGAAGGGAGTGACCCAGCCATGTCTGTAAGGTGGATTGTCACCATCAGAGTTTGGCTGTGGCAGGACGAGAAATTTGGCAGAGGGAGAAGGGGTGACAATAAGCTATCTTGGAGGTGTTGTATAGGTGTCACAAGTAAGCATCGATGAGGGTCCACCTCAAGCAGGCGGCCCTTCTGAAGGTGGGTTGCAAGCTCGAACCGCAGATGCAACTGGCCCTGGTAATCCAAGGGAAGATTGTTGACAGCATGGAAGCAGTGTTGGTGGCAAAGGGGGCCTGAGTATGCCAGGTGAACCCTGTGCTGGATGGCACCCAGGAGTTGAGAGACAATTTGGTGATTGGGGTAGTTGCAAAGTGCATGGTGCCAGTGGTTGACAGCTGCTTGCATCAAACCATGGTGGGCTGGAAGCCCACCTGTGTGGTAAAGAGGCTCGCTCACTGTGGTGTTGGGCCGTGATGGCGCCCGAAGAGTCTGGAGGGGTGCCAGTTGAGCTATTGCAAGGTCAGCTGATGGCACGCAGGGAGGATTGGTGGGAGAGGGAGAAGAAGAGTTGCTGAGCGCGAACGGGAGACCAGAGCGACCAGCTGTGATTCGGCAGGACTTGGGTAGGGAAGGACACGTCGCTGTGAGGGACTGGGGCCGTGTGGTGCCGCTGGAGCCTCTTGGGATGGGACAAACAACCAGTGGAGGTTGGCCAGGGGTGAAGGCTGGTGGGGAGGTATTGGTTGGTGTTGCTTACTTTGGTCGAAGGCCCAGTGGGTTGAGCCATGCGAGAGCAAGTCTTTGATGGGTGTGGG